TGCAACAAGTTGCCAAATCTCAGAATCCTGGGGAAAAGTGGTGAGATCATACATACCCATTGTTGCTGCAACTAGTGGAACATTGTCAATAATTGCTGACACAACTCCTATTGCACTTGCAATCAGTTCAACATTAGGAATATGAGCATCAAGGTAATTTGCCAACTCCCGAAGAAGACCTGCTGCTTCTAGGCCAGGGAAGCACAACTCAAATTTATCAGTATAGAAAGCTACAATATACAACTTAATTATATAAATGAAGTAATGATAAATATAAGAAATGCTTTTTATATTTATGAAAAATACAAAAAAAAATGGCATCAAAAGCACTTATCACCAAGTTGCATTGTCCTAAGCAATGCTTTTTATTGAAACTTCATAATAAAACCTAACTGTGGTTAAACAAAATTAATTGAGGCAACAAACAGGAACAAATTACACATTCGTACTTTCATCTTGTATTTACCTGCTCACAGACAAAAGGATTCCAAGGAAGAAAAGAGCTCCTTGAGTATCAGTCCTTGATAAAGCTTGTGGAACTTTTAATTTTTGCTTTTCCCATTCACCATAATGAATGGCATCAGTCAGTATCCAAAGAACTCCAAGTCCAAATAACATGCCCATAAAAGGAGGCAAACCAGTTAATGCCTTGAACACTGGAACAAAAATCAAAGCACCAATACCCACAGAGAAAACAAGTTGCCCTCTAGGAGCCATTTGTTCAGATGCCAAAACATTGGGAGAATCTTGTCCCTTCCCATTAACTTCGCTGAATGAGAGAAGAGAACTCACATTATTTCATCTCTAATTCATGAAGTTAAACGTAACCCTTTAAAACTGAACTTTCCCAACTTATCTTTGCTCATGCAAGAAACATACTTAGTCAAAGACATTAGAGCCAGCAGGACAGCTAGAGAAACAGTTGAAGGTATGAACAAACCCTGTTAGCAATGAAATCAAACATAATTAACTCCACCTAAAGTCAGTAAAAAGAAAAAATTCTTCTAGGGTGGATCCATATGAATAGAGTATGTGAGTTTACATTGCTATTGCTTCCAATAGTTCAATGTTTGGTTCAAATTTGACAGAATTATTACCTTTGTCTACTAATCTAAGTCTAAATCAAGAAACATATCAACATGGACACTTAAATCCACAATGAATAGATAGCAGGATAAAATTAAAAGCATAAATGAAAGTGAATTTAATTTAAATGTGCTTTGTTAGAATCATGAAAGCACCTTAATAAAAGCACCTTCATAGTCTGCAATGTGGATATTTGACCATGTATCCATAGCATGGTTGTGGTAACATCACCAATAGGAGACCAAGCACCACCAGCATTTGCTGCTATTACAATAACAGCTCCTAGAAGCCTATTGCAATTCATATTCATATAAACAGTTTTAAGAAATTTGAATAAACATGATACTAGTCATTCTCAAAAAACGGCTATGGTACGTTTAACTCAAAATAATATGATAGTCATGTGATCTAATGGTAGAGTACTGAACTATTAATTCCGGTGACCAGGATCAAACCCTGGCAGTCTCAAATACCAAAAAAAATATATATGATAACCAACTGTGCAGTGATGGATAAACACACAATTGCAATATGGTAATATACCATGTGAACCCAGGAACATTAACGAAAATAAGCTATTAATTCATGCAATGCTCAGAACCCAAACAGAAGAGTAGACTCTATCGCATAACATACTTGCGGTATTCTGATGGAGGTACTAGTTTCCTCAACAAAGAAACCATGACTATTGTAGATGTCAAATTGTCAAGGATGGAACTAAGGAAAAATGTCACGAAACCAACCTGCATTTTCAAATTACAGGTGAAACACCATTATTTGATTAAACCTAACATCAAGAAGATACAACTGATAAAGATATCAAATACTTTGACAAGAAATAGAAATAAAGTTGATCTATATGTTCAAAACAGAAGAAAGCAATGCTAGAAAGAGAGACAGCTAACACAAATTTTCATCTAAAACTTTACACTTTCAATTTTTCTTCATTAGGCTCATTCTAGGTAAAAGACTAAATATGATAGGATCATATGCAGATAAATTGTGCTTTGGCAGGATGATAACTTCGGCCATGACACGTAGGTAAGCACATTTAAGATTCTTCTGAATCTATCTTATCAGCTGGAACCACCTATATCATTGGTTTTTACCTACCAGACAAATTTCACAGTAGGTGGGTAAATATTGGGCCACAGGGTATTCTTCACTGTGCAATTGAACTTTCAAAAAGATTCATACATGAGCTATTAATGATAAGATTGTCAATATGACTATAGCCAGCAGAAATCAACTCACCACCCAAAGCAGAATCTGTGGCTTTCGAGTGGTTATATTGTCAATAACCAGCTTAAATCCTTGATGGGCATCAACTATCTCTACAGTGGTCATTGCACCAAGCAAGAAAAACACAATTTCACCAACTTCAGCAGATACACGTGTCAGCTCTGAAACAGCTATATCAGTTGAAGGAGCCTACAAATAAAAATCAAATGTGAATGGTCCAAGCATTATTAAACAAGTAATGACAGACAAAGGTAGAAATAAGTTAGAAAAATGATAAAAAAAAAAAGAAGTTTGCTATACAGATGTCAGATGCATCAGCATAAGTAGACTACCATAGAATTCCAAAAATAAAGGGAGATAGTGATGGCAACAAGACACACAAACAGAAACTTTGGCTCTCCCAATTTACCATGGGGGCAGATACTTAGTTTTGCAATCTTAATTCATTGCTAGGGTAGTCCCTTGGAAATGGTTTAAATTGGAGATGCTCATTCCTTCAATGGGAAGTGGGCTCTAACATAAATAAAAAAATAAAGGATATTAGATTGCAATGATCACTTCATAAAAGACAAGCCATCGTTCACAAAAAACATACACCACTAAAATCAGTAGATCAGGGAATATGTTTAGAGCCCAAGCATCCTGTATTTCATTAACTCTTGAACGAATATAGGGTCATGAGGCCACCACCAAAGAACATGAGAGAAACAGGTTGAAACCTGACATAGTACTGAATGAAGTATCCGATACACGAGAATTTTGTGTTTTCATCCTAATTTATGATAATGCTAACAATGATGCAAACTACAAGAAGAGGAACAGCAGAAAAACACAGTCCAATAGTAGACATCTGAGAATCATTCTTACCCCAATGCTTCTTACTACCCATAAACTCACAGCCATCAACAAGCCTACTCCACATTTATTGAAGCCTAGATACTCCTCAAAGATAATGCCTGCATATCCTATTGCAAAAAGCAATGCCATAGCAATATCCTGCATTATGAAATTAGATAAAATTAAGAAAGGTTTCTGTACATAATATAATAATAAGCAAAAAATTGGTCAAAGATGAGAAAACGATGATTAAAACCTACAAAGAAATGATTGCACAAGAAATTAAAGATAAACCTGGTTGTTGGTAACCCATGATATAGGTTAATTGCCAAAGTCCCCGTTAAAGCTGCTGTGAAAACCGCAATGGTTTTCAACAAATCACTCTTTGGCTGATAAGAAACTTCAAAATCTAGCGAGCTAGTTTCATCTACTGAACATAAAGGATCACAAAGTCCAGATGTTGAGGTCAGCTCCTGTTGATATGCAAAGGTTATTTCAGTGTGTGGCAGACCTCACAAAAAGAAGAAGGAACAGACACTGCCTTTTGAGTAATCTTCCCTCATAAAGAGGATCATTACCCAGCCTCAATGCCGCCAATGGAAGATAAGAGTCCAACAAGAGTCATTTGAAAAGTGTTCCTAGCTTTAGGATTCAGCAATTTTACACAACGAGGCTACTTTCAGGACTTGAACTTGCTCGTTTGAGCTCGTCAGCCAAAATTTTTTATATTACACCAGACAATGTCGCCTAATCAACCCTCATATATCTAACTAAATCAATCTGATTTCTGAGCTAAACATCTGCACAAGGTAATTTATAATAGCACTAGCTTGAAATTCTATCAAATTATTTAACCTACTCATTAATCAAGCAAACATAACCAAGATAAAATCTTCAAATGTATGAACAAGCAGAACAGGCAAATGGGTAGCCTTAAAACTGGACTGCTTATAAGCACGACAATAAAGATGACAAAAGACACAAAATGAAAACAAAAAACTCTCACCCAAATCATAAATCAACGAACAAACAAATGGGTACCCATAAAGATAAAATTTTTCATAATGGTATATGGATAACAAGAACAAAAACCTCAAGTTGCTTTTCATTGTTGGGTTGAACTCTTCGTTTTCTTGGATAGGAAACAGAAGAAGAGCCTCTGGCCTTATCCTCAGCTCTAGCAAGAACTCCATAGCGAAGCAACCTTGGACTTTTGCCAAAGTTAGGCAAAGATTACCCTGAAAGAGTGTGGAAAGAGCGTCTCTTGAATTGGTATGACGGTGAGAAATGCCTCCCAATTGATAAGGCAGCCAATAAAAGCTTGAGATTTTTTTAAGAAGCTGGATTATTAAAGAAACGAACGAGAATACCTTTGAAAATTTTGTTTCAGATTCACTTATTGCAAGTTGTTTTTGTTTTTGAAATTTGGTCCAACAGCTAGTTTATTGTCTCATTAAACTGAACGAAGTTGCCAAAGTAGCTTTCTCGTTTTATTCAACTTCAAAACCAAAAAATACCAAAAAAAAGACGTTTTTCTTCTTCTTGCTGTTTTAATTTTTAAATAAATACATCATACATATTTACATAAATTCGACAAATTGTGGGTAATTATCCGATCAAAACCTTTAGAAAATGATATAGGGACTTTATAGTATAACTTTTTATTCATATTAAATATAACAATTTTCTTTGGTAAATTGCTTGATGCCCTTGAACTATCTAGCTATTATTACCTCGTAGAAATTTAGTAAAGATTTTTTAAAAGAAATTTAAAATTCGAGTATTAATGATAAAATCATGTAAAAATTAGAAAACATAAAAAGAAAAGAATTATTAGGATGTGTGGGACATGATACGTGTTCAACTTCCATATCTCGAATATGTCTGGTCCTCTTTCAACTGCCAGTTTGTCCAGAAAGATTAGATTAGAGGCGGTGTGTCGCCACTCCATCCCCTCAAAACAGTCAAAACTCCTCCAAACATGGCCTTAGCTCAAGTATCTGCTTCTCTTTCTCTTTCCATTCACGGTAGTCTGTCAATCTTGTCTCTTGACATTACTTATTAAGTCTTTATAAAAAATTTCACAACTCCAAATTGTGTTGCAGATGTCTGTTCTATCAGCTCATCAAGAACCCATAAAATTTCTCGTTTACCCGTTTCGAGTATTTCACGAAGCGGCTCCACTTTTGCCACTGGTTCCCCTCTCTGTAAGCAATTCTTTTTCTTTTTTTTTCTCTTATGTGGGTTTTTGTTTTGCTTCTATGATAAATTGTTACACTTAAAGGGTAAACCAAAAACTTGGTTTTTTTACCCAAATAATGGGTAATCTTTGAATTTGTTTGAAATAATTGTACATAGTAAAGTGAAGTAGGTTTTGTCTTGTGAGTTTGTTTCATTGACCCACCTTTTGCAATGGACAATGTGAAATATGATTTATTTGGAGGAACAGACTAGGATTTACCTACTAAACATGCCCTGGAAAGGAATTTTTTGTGGACTAGCAGAAAAACAGCTTTAATTCTATATAGTTCTTTGTGTAGGGATGGCCAGCTTTAATTCTCTGTAGTTCTCTGTGTAGGGATGGCCAAATGTCAATTATGATTCAGGATTATAGTCTAGCTGCTTTGATCTTTAGATCGCTCCTGGTTTTCATTAATGATTTGTCATTTTCTTTACCATATATCCAAATTATTTTAAAGATTGATTTGTATTAACATATACTGTTTGGATATTTTACTTGACCACTTTATGCACTGTTTGATTGATGAAATTTCATAGGAAGATTTCCAATTGTTACTCGAACTTTCCTTTCCATTAATGTTCTTGCAGCTGAACTACAGAAGGAGCACAGTGTTTAACCCGAAATTAGTAGACTAAAAGTGCATGCTTTGGCTTTTTCAGTGATAAGGAGAACATCTCACCAGAGGAAGCCTGCATGTAAAGCAACATCAATTTCCATTAAATGTGAGCAAAGCACCCAGGAGGGCAACAGTTTGGATGTATGGCTAGGCAGACTTGCAATGGTTGGCTTTGCGGTGGCTATTACTGTTGAAATTTCGACTGGGAAGGGACTTTTGGAGGTATCACTGTGCCATTGTTTTTACTTTCTGTATTTATGTTTGGACTAACTACCAAATGTTTCCCTTGATCTTGCAGAATTTTGGCCTCACAACCCCCTTGCCTACTGTAGCCTTGGCTGTAACAGCGTTGGTTGGTGTTTTGACTGCTATTTTCATCTTTCAGTCCGCCTCTAAAAGTTAGAATTTATCATCCTGAAAATGTTTACAGCTGCAGTTTTGCTCATGGACTGTAATTCTGTTGTCTTGCCGACAACAGGATACGTTTGAGATTGTATAAGAAATTCAACTTTATGTGAATGCCTTACTCCGTTGGTTTTTCTTTTTTCTTAACTGCTAAATATATTTTTCTGTTTCTGTTCAGTGTTGGTAAAATCCTGAAACAGAACTGGTTCAATCATTCTGTTTCTTAACTGCTCATTTTATGACATAGGAAATGCTGCCGCATTTCATTGGTAAAGATTGGGCTTGAGAAAAGCATTTTTTTTTTTCAGGATCCATGTTCCTAAACCATGAGATTGGAAAGGTGAAATTGAAAATAATGATAATGGTGAGATTAAATGCACGATGCTATCCAAATGCACCTCATTGTGCAGATAAACCCAAAAAGGGGTTGGATTCCACAGCCCTTAATCAATTGTGAATTGTTTTCTTTGATGCCATGATACTTTTGACCAGTTTGGATTGCCTAACAAATATGGAGAGAATTTAGTAGCCATAGGCGGCGCTGATTTGAACCTTTTGCAATGGTAAAATGAGCACGTCTATCTTTTACGCCAAAAATATATTATGACTCGCACTTTCTATTGCATCAAAATATCAGGCAGCCAGCAACTGTTAAATTCATAACCTTTTAACGTTTAAACATTTAGACATACTTTGTTGTACTTCTAAGCAATCGCCATGCCAAATAGGATCTGAAAACCCACTCATGTGAAACATATGGAATTGCAACAACCATACCATCAGTAGTTAGAGAAAGCAAATGGACTTCATTCTTTTCTTGTATCAGCACATATTCTTCTTTAGCCTCTTAGCCTTTTTCCATCCAACAGTGCCAGCACCTGTTAATGGTATTGACTTGCAACGCAAGGGAACTCTTTTGCTGTCTCTTTGTCCCTTCCTAGGTTTTCGTATTGGAAAAATAATCCTCAATCGTTGCACTTTAAACATGCAAAAGAAACTTCATTTAAGTTGCGTATGCCTTTTTTTTCTAATCTTCCCGGGATCTGTACTTTTGATTATGTTATTCTGGTTTTTTGGGATGTGAACTAATTTTGGAAATGGGGGCAACAGTATCTCGATTTTCCAAGAGGTTCGGTTTCCTTCCTCAGTGTAGATTAAGGATTCTCATGGTGGGTCTTGATGCTTCTGGGAAAACAACCATTCTTTACAAGCTAAAGCTGGGAGTTCTGCTTAAAACCAAGCCAACAATTGGTATCAAATTCCAAACTCATTTTTACTTCATAACCTCTTGCCTGGTTTTCTTCTCACTATAGGGCTTTATTCTCTCTGAGATTAGGTGTTTTCAGCCTGTCCAGTCTGTTCTTTTACTTGTAGATTGGAAATTACATGATAACCAACAAAGGAAGAAAAAAGGAAACCGTGAAAAACAAACAGTAGTTTAGAAATTATGATACCAAAAAGCTTCGTTTCTGATTTGAATCTTAGTTTGATATGCTCAAGATTTGAAGGATTCAATGGATTTGTGGTTGCAACTAAAGCCTACAGGCTACAATTATTTGCTTCTATTGACTTGAAAATATGGCAAGATCATGACTTCAACTTTAAGATTTTCTGAATAGAGATGGACGAGGTAATTTCAAGATTTTCAAGTTCGTCAATTGATGCAGTGCGTCTCGTTTCCATTTCTTATCAAGCAGGTTTTAACGTAGAGACCATAGAGTACAAAAACATATGCTTCGATATATGGGATGCAGGAGGACAAAGCAAGGTATCAAGCAAAATCTCATTTGTTTACATGGGCTAATCTGTTTGATATGTTAAATGAATGAGGTATAGCACAGACTAATTTGCTTATAACACAGATTCGGGCATTGTGGAAACATTACTTCCTGAACGCCCAGGGTATAATCTTTGTGGTGGACAGCAGTGATAGAGAAAGAATCTCGGAAGCCCGGAATGAGCTACATCGGATTTTAATTGATGTTAGTACTAAGCTCTTCATATTGAAAATATTTTATTTTCATTTCTTATTCATAAAGAAACCCTGGGAAAAAAACTAAATAGAATCAAAAGAGTTACAAGAAAGGACTCTGTAAACCTTTCTTTAATGTGACATTCTCTGCTGCCATCTGCAAGTGAAACTTCCTTTCTTATAGCTGCCATAACTCTAGTCCAACACTGCTAGTGCAACTTCTGAAACCGCCAACCAATGACATATTTACAGTATTGTTTACACTGCAAAGACAATTACTGGGAATATTTATCCTCCTTTTGTTCCTATCATTGCAGAACGAACTAGCCAATGCAGCACTCTCTGCTGCCATCTGCAAGTGAAACTTCCTTTTTTTATGGCTGCCATAACTCTAGTCCAACACTGCAAGTGCAACTTCTGAAACCGCCAACCAATGACATATTTACAGTATTGTTTACACTGCAAAGACAATTACTGGGAATATTTATCCTCCTTTTGTTCCTATCATTGCAGAATGAACTAGCCAATGCAGCACTATTACTCTTTGCCAATAAGCAAGACCTGTCAAATGCCATGACTTTATCTGAGGTAGCTGATAAACTTGGGTTGCATTGTCTTGGTGAGCGGCCGTGGTAAGAATTGCTTTTCTCCTATAGATTGCATGGCATGGATACTTGCTGAAATGTATGACCTTGTTATCCACAACTGAATGTATGCTATTATTCATTTGCATTTTTTTTTTTTTTCAGTTTTATAGTGGACCTTTCACTTCCTGTTGTGATCAAATAAAAGATAGTAGGACATGAAGATTAGAATGATGAAAGCTTATTCTTCGCTGTTGACCCTGATAATGTTTTAAAGATGGAATACCTCCCAATGGTTTGACAGGTCGTATTAAATCAATTTGTTGTGCAGGTACATCGTAGGTACTTCTGCACACTCTGGTTGTGGACTCTATGAAGGTCTCAACTGGCTATCCGACAATATCTCTAACAAGGCAGAAACATTCTCATACAACCACATTCCTCATCTTTTCTTCCATAGAAATCACCAAAAAGAAATTGATTCGACACTCATTGAAATGGAAAAAGCGTAGTAAAACTTCGAAATCTGGCATGATTTTGTTTGAGGTTGCAATTTTAAAAGACTCGGCTTTTCCTCTAGCAGAGGCACCTGCAGATAGAATCATTCACATCACATTATCACAGTCAGCATCTGTGTATTTCCAAGTTGAGTTTTTTTTTTTTTTTTTTTTTTTCTGTCCTTTCAATAGATATAAATTAAGAATTATATAATGACACTTTGTTTTAGACTGTTATATTTTCATCTACTGCTCCATCTATATTTGATAAAGACTGAAGAACAGTTCCTATGCCAATGGAAGTATAGAACCATTAGAGAGCAGACATAAAGAAGAAACTTCAAAAACTTGGCAAGCGTCCAAAATTAGAAAATCCTCCTGCCCCAAAATCTCCAACTGAACAACTCAAACAACAAAATTTCAAAAATAAATATGCAAGTTGGGCCTTTTTTATAATTAAGGCATCCATAACCACAAGTTTGATTACACCAGATAAATGAGAAAGGGCTATTTCCAGTACTTTTTCATCCATAAACAGTAAACTGCAATGGGATAGTTCACCAAACTTTCTCCTGTTTTCATTCAGTCTACGATAATCTACATCGAAGAGTGTCAAAGAGGTGAGAACACATTGTTAACAAAATAGAGAATGGTGAAATACATTACTCCTCGTGAAGAGGAAGAAAGGGTTAAAAATTTTCGCCCAGCTCAGGATATAAGAACAAAATTTGAGCAACTCAATGCACTTATTGAAAGCTGATGAAGGAAAGATCACGTAATTAGATATCCATGGATTGAGGTCCAAATGAAGCCTTTGATTTTTTACTCTTCTTTGTCTTCCCTCCATTTTGATTTGTCTTTTTCTTTGGTTTTTCATCTAAAGCAGGCTGTGTGCTCTGTAAGTGTTGATGAATGGCAGCCAGTGGATCAGCTTGAAAAGCAGGATGCTTAAGAACTGCACTCAATTGTTTCCCCTCTTTCAATCTGATAAAAATCATCCATTAAAAGTCAGATATTTTATTGCAGGGGATAATCAAACATTATAACATGATAGAATCACAGAATTGAAGCAGGCACATTAATTGTTGCCTAGATTTGCAATTGAGCTTGAAATCAGCTGCAGGAATTGATTGTTTGGGAGCTTTCAACTCAGGAAGAAACTCTGACAGCGCAGAGAGATCATATGCTTTCAATTTCTTCTGTCGGCTTCGAAGTTTCTTTTTCTGGTAGGAGACAAGGAGTTCATTAGCAAACTCTTTAAGTCCAAACTAAGATCATACATCTCATATTACTTTCTGACTCAAAATAGAAGAGAGATTTGCCAAAGCCGTCAACTGGCGCCATTGCTTTAGTCAGTGGAAACATTTACTTCTATCCCAAAAAAAATGTCAGTGGAAGAAATTTGATAAGATCTACCGCCACCAAGTAATCTCCCCCAAGCCCTTCCCCCTCCCAACCCCACCCCAAATCCACATTTTGCAGTTTTTGCAACAGAACTCCAGCAGTACTCCACAAAGAATGTTAGAATTCCATAGGATTCTTTATCTTGCCTTTGATGTCTAACCATTCCACACACACACATATATATAAGAGGGATCAACTTACACAGTATAACAATTTTTTAGATTTACACATTTTTTTAACCATTGATTTCAATAGATTCAAAGAATGAGAATAAACCATTTTGTCCTATTTTTACTTGTATCTCTCATCTCTTTGATCTATTGAAGTCAATAATTAGAAAAATTTGTAAAACTTTTTTAGTTGTGGACTGTGTTAGTTGATCAATGATTAGACTGAGTAAGTTGTAGACTGTATAACACTTTTTTTATCTCTCCTTATATAAATATAAATATAAATATATATATATACACACACATACACATAAGATATAATACAATTGACATAGAATACAGGTAAGAGTGAAAGCTCATTGCATCAAATGAATTCATCCACATGAGTTCAACCCAATTTGCTATGGCATGCATTAAATACTGAACTTATAACGAATTCCCGCATTGAATCCAAATCCCAGAGAAGAATGCATTTAGATTTGCAAGGATAAACAAATTAAAAATGTTTGCAAGAAAGACCCTTATTACCTTTGTTATGTCCTTCTTGGCAGTCAAGGAGGCAACGGTATCTCTAACCTCTACATATATAAAACCAATGAAATTATTACATTTACATATAACATAAAATTGATTAAAAATAATTTTCGTGATGAATAAGAGTTTCAACTCACTGGCATAGAACTGGAGCTTTTTTTCGAATTTTTTATCGGATTTAGAAGAAGAATCTGGCCTACCATAAAAAAAAATCGTAAAATTGCAGAAAACCCCAAGTTCCAAAAATTAATCAGAGAAGTTAAAACACAATAAATAAAAAATATTATATATTCACCGTGAGCTTGGTTTCCCCATGTTTGAGTAACTTCAAAAAGGTTAAATTCTTAGAATGGAGGAACCAAAGTGAAGGTTTTAGGATTTGATTATTGAACTACAAAGAAGAAAGAGACAGCCAACTCAAAGTATAAAACCTAGAACCAGTGGCCTCAAGCCTGATAGTTTATTTTCCATTCTTTAGAGGTTTGGGCCCTTTTTGCAAAAACAGGAAAATTTTTAATACTACGGTGTTGGGCCTTTCAACTTTATGGACTTGATTGAATAAATTTTGGGCTTCAATCTTCAGAAACTTCTTCTATTATATATCTCTTTTTTTTTTCCTTTCTTTATTTACGTCGGGAAAATGCATAGTACAAAATAAATGGATAGAAAGGACGGAAGATACTAAATTTCTTTTGGTTTATTATAGGAAAATCTCTTAAGTTTTAGAAATTTAAAGCTTTGCCCCCATTAAAAATTTTTAGATCATATTCCCCCCCCCCACTAAATTAAGGCTCATAAAAAAAACTTTTTATTATTTATTTGGTGATTGAACCTTTATACTTAGAATGTTAAGCAATTTCATTATAAATATATATTAACTTTGTACAAAAACAAATTAAAACTTTTAGAATTCATATAGATGTGAATTAATATGAATAAAAAATCATCTTTAACTAACATAGATTTATGTCTCATTTTTGTTTTCATTGTATATAAGAAAAAAGCATTTATTATTATTCAAATATAATGAATAAGAAATGAATATCATTTTCAATGTATAAGATTATTAATAAAATAGGATAATAATTATTCTATATCATATTTGATTTATATCTAAATGAAGGATTAAGATTACAAGGAGGATTAATATCCTTTTGATATAGGATTATTTAATCATTCCCAAGTAAAGATGATTATTTTTAATTCATGATATTAAACTTATATGTTTAATTATATATTTAAAAATTATATCAATAATTTAAATTATATAAACTTTTAAAAATAATAATTTTAACAAATAAATAAATTATCTTATAATAATCTTTATATACATCAAACATAAAATAGAAAGATATTATTTAATTTAATCTTATTTATAATATTATTTTATTTGATTTTATCATAATTTTGTATATCAAACATGATAGAAATATATTTGTTTACTACAAATAAATGACAAAATTTGAATATATTAATTTTAATTGTTTCACATTTTATATCTGTCTTTAAAAGTTCTATTAAGTAAATTTTTATTAAATTAATATACATACATATTTATATGTATATTTGTGTTTACACGTGCATTTGTAAAAAGATTTTTTTATTTATGATAAAATAATGTTTTCTCCATGTTAGTTAAGAATTATATAGTTAATTTTAGTTATGTAAACATTAGGTATACAAAATTATAGTTTTATAAAATAAAAAATTTGTTACACGTGTTAATTTTGTTTAAATTTTTTATATTAATTTGTACTTTAATAAAAAAATTTAATAAATTAAATCAAAATATTTACTCCGACAATGTATTATTTCCAGAATTCAGACTATACTGGAGTAGCCATGCCAAGAGAAAAGAGCTTTACGAGTTAGTACTAGGGTAGGAATCTCAAACACACATCTTGTCCTGTAAGAATTTATCCTTATTATGGTTCATTGCTTTGGGAGTGAAAAAGGATTACAAGTTACACTGTTATTGTAAACGGTCACCATTTTTGTTAATCTCAGAAAGATCTTTTCCCTACTGTATGATTTTTTTCAGCTAAATTTTGAGATGGTTGAGAGTTAGAAGAAATCCAACCAAGGCCACAAAAAATTTGGAAATTTGCCAAAATAAGTTGACAGTGACTGATATCAGACTCTTTGCTGTCGACACCAAGGTAGAACAACTGCTTTTAACGACTTTTCTTTCTAACAGCTCATACTTACGTTCCCGAGGTGCATGATCATTGCCATTGGCAATGACAAAAGCTAAAAGCTTTTCCCTCGTAAATTGTCCTTGTATTTTTCTCTCGGAATTTCTGCATCATCACATTCTAATCGTTAAGTTCCCCCCTTAGGCCTCAACTTTAACTCCCTAAATTATTCACCAACCTATGCATCTCTGACACTAGTGTTAGCGATCAGTTGCCTTTCGTCACCAAAGATACCAAAACAGACCAAAAAAAGTTTCGACTTTTGCAGCCGGCGGACCCTTTTCACACTTTTCTACATTACTACAAATTAGTTCATCCAATTCTGAAAGCTAATTCCATTTTTCAACATCATTAAAATCAAGGTTTTTATTCATTTTTAAGTTCACATATATTGACAGTGTAAATAGACCAGACTAACACATTATTGATGCCAAACTTATCAAAAACTGTAAAACACTAACATTCAACAAAATTTCTACAAATGGGTCAAATGGCAGATTTAAGAAAGCTTAAAATTATACTACTAGTAACCAGTACCATTGATGTCACTATTTGTTTTATTTATTATCCCATATTGGATTAAATGCTTACACTTTGAGAAACACATGGGAGATGATCAATCTCACTTCTACTTCAAACCCAAGGGATCATCACCATAACTGACACCACTAATTATTTTTTATTTAATAAAGTCCCTTATATTTACATAATAAATACTTCACTCATCATATATAGAAAAAAAATGTATGTATATATTTTAGTAGAAATTGCTTATATTAGGTATTTTTTTTTTAAATGAAAAACATAGGATGACTAAGCTGACACTAAGACTTTGGTTTTCCACCATATGCTTGCTTGCAAACGGCGTAAGGTTTCTGCGAAGGACTGCACAGCTGAGATGATGCTGGACATCCCTGTAAACAATTGTCCCCCAAGCTACCGGAAACCGACATGTCGCCGGCGAAAAACTCTGACGGAGGTTTCCCATTGAAGAAATTCCCATCTAAAAACAACCGCCTTAAAGACTTCTTCTTGCTGTACTCCAACGGGATGGCGCCACGTAAGCGATTGTAACTCAACGACAAGGAGGACAGCAGAGGATAGTCAGCCAAGTTTACAGGGGCGTTTCCCTCGATCTTGTTGAACCCAAGATTAACGGCCACGAGGTCGCTGTTACCACCGGGGGGTTTCCAGATCGCGACAAGTGTGAAGCTGTTATTGGCTAAATCTACCTGTTGTAATGACGGTAAGAGAAAGAACCATGCTCCAAGTTTCCCAGTGAACGAGTTTTCACTGAGTTCAACAACCTCCAACTGAGTTAACCCATCGAAAGAGGATTTTGAGATATACCCGGATAAAGAATTTCCCCTTAAAGCAAGCTCTAATAAGTTATATGGCAGTTTTGGTAGAAAACCAGTGAGTTTGTTGTAACTCAGATCGAGTCTCCTCAAACTAGAAAGCGAGTTCAGGGTTTTTGGCAAAGGCCCAGAAAGAGAATTATGAGAAAGGTCCAAGGATTCAAGAGATTTGAAGGTCGTGATAGAGTCAGGAATTGACCCAGAGAACGAGTTGGACTTGAGAGTCAAACTTTGTAGACTACGGAGAGAAGAAATAGAAGAGGGTATAGGGCCAAAGAAGTTATTATCAGAAAGATCAAGAGTGGTGAGTTGGGTGAGTCCGGAAACGAGTGGGTTAAGTTGGCCGGAGTAGCCAACTGGATCAAGAGTGATTTGGGTAACACGGGTCGAGTCAGGCGAGCAAGTAACACCGCAGGTGAAGTGGGTACGACGAGGGATGGCACAAGGGTCAGTGGAGAAGTCCCATGAAGCGAGACAGGACCATGACGGTATTGAGCTCGGCTTGATAGAAGCCTTCAAGTATTTGAGAGCTGAAATATCCTGCGGTGAAGTAAGGCCCTGAGCTTGAGCAAAATAGAGAAGAACAAAACAGAGGATATTGTACATGGAGACAGGATTTTACCTTTTCTATTGGGTGTAACTTTTTTTTTTTCGTTGGCAAAAGCAGATGGAAATGCCAGAGCTTAGAAATGATGCAAACTTAAAGGAGTTTCAATGTGGCCTTTGGAAGTTAGTGGTTTGGATATACATGTATGGTTGGACAGCACCAAAATTTTGTAGTGTGGCTGGTCAAATCCTAAAAAAGTACTTTATTTATTAATAAGGATATTTAAAGAGTATTAGTATAATCTAAAAAAAAGAGTATTAGTATATTAATTAATACTATCGTTAGGATACAGGGTGTGACAACCGAAAACCCATATTTCTAGATTTTGATTTTGTTGAAGAGTATGCATGATTTTCAATATAATTTAGTTTACACAGCCATGTTATATATGGACATATCTTTATAGATATTTTCATATTTTTTAAAAAATAAACTAAAATAATTTAAAATAATAAATTTTAAATTTTAAATTTATTAAATATTAATTTTTAAAAATTATTGCATAAATTAATTGAATAAAATCTCAAGTTTGTAATAATTTTCATATGATTGTAATGATATATAAAAGTTGGCTAAACACGGCCATTTTAAAATATATGTTTACTAGTAATTATTTATGTTCCTATCCAATATTTGATTTAGAATTAATTATACAAAATCATAAATAAATATTATAAACTTAACATAATCCATAAGATTTTGGTCACAGCAACCTTAGAAAAAAACAAACATTAAAGAAATGAAGAAACTAGCTATCATGTTTTAATCCTCTACCTTATCTAAGTGATCCTTTCCTTGAATTCGCTCGGAACCATGCATCTCCTTAGCCAGTTTTTTTTTTTTTTTTAATATGTTCCATATATCCAAAATTGTTTTCAATTTGATAGTGAATTATCAGCAATTAATTTAAACAAACCAAGCTTAAAAAAAATAAAACAAAAAACCACACAAAATGGAAAGAATACTATGTGCGTTTTGACCCCATGGGTTCAATCTTTAGAGGCAAGTTTGAGAACTTACTTTCAGGTTATCTTTTCTTCTTTCTCCCTGAGCACATGGGAAATTGTTAGTAATTGTGTGTTTACCAACTGGCTCGCTCTTTGCCATTCAATCAAAGAAAGTGCGAGTTTAAAGTTAGACGAGAAAGAAGTGTCGCTATATGGGAACGAACCACTTTTGTATTGTTAACATGTCTTGTAAGTAGAAAGGTACACGAGGAATCCGGCAGTGACAGTGGCTCAGTACTTGAGATGTTTTAAGTTTTTTGACTCCCCCAACCCTACCTTCTATGTTTCGACACATTTCATCCACAAAATTTAGCCGAAGTCCAATATCAAGTGGCCTGAATACGTTAATATGTTTGGGATTATTTTTTTGTTCGATTTGGATCAATATCATATATTAAATATATATATATTATATACTAAAATATGATTAATAAAAAAAATTGAATCAAATTTAATTATATATTTTTATTAATTTATTTATTTTAAATTTGTATAAACTAAAAATAATTATTTTATATATAAATTTATTTAAATATATTAAAATTTTTATTAAAATAATATATTAAAAACAAAAATAAAATTTAAAAATCAATAAACTAAATCAAATAGATAAAATTTGATTCAGATCGAATCAATTTAAAAAAAAAATTCATATTCGGATAAAATTTTAAAATTTTATAATATTATATATTATCTGAAAAATAAAATCAAATTCGATTTATCACCCTAATAACTAGAGTTTAAAGTTTAAATGAATTATAGTTGACTATTTTTGATTGAACAAAACTTACATGAAATTATTTAGATGAAATTTATAAAGTTCATTCCTAAAAATAATTTAATAAAAATTTTAATAAAATATTTAAATTTATAAATTAATAAAATTTAATGTGAAAATCAATAATACATAAAAAAATCATTAAAAATATTATTTATAGTTAAAATTTGATCTATATTTATTCAATAGTAAAATTCTATCAATTTTTTTTTATTAAAAATGCCTATCTAAAAATATATATCAAAATTTTTTCAAATTTTATACACTTAATTTATATAATTTTTTTTAATTTTTTAATTTTAAAGTAATTATTTATGATAATAAATTTTATTTAAAAATTTTCATCTAAGTTTTTCATTGAATAAGTCTGCAAGTCCGATGTCACAAAATGCAACATAGGCCGCTATTGGACTTGAAGACATTTTCCTTGCAGCAGTTAAAGATGGGTATCTTTGCTGATTCGGGCCCAAAAGGAAAGACTCAGCGGGGACCCGATTTTAAACTTTAGGAGGAAGATCAACGATCCTAAATTGAAATTCGAAGACAGTGTTATGGCAACCGGCATGTCTATTGTCCACCAATAGAGACGGTAATCAATCCTGATCGGACAAATTGTCAAAAGCACAATTCCCGATAAGAATGGCATCAGTCACTGTCACATATATGGTTAAAATGCTCACCAAGAGTCACAGCCACATGATCCATTCCAAAATGACCAAAATCGTGACTCGTCTGCCTCTCCTCCACCTTTTCCTCCTCCTATCCACCACCTTCACCGCAACTGCTTCCAGTTCCGCCTACCCTTCTGTCCCAACGGACTGCACTGTTTCTACAGGGGATGAGAAACTGGTTCCTGTTAGACGGGAGGTTTAATTTATTTATTTTAAATTTGTATAAACAAAAAATAATTATTTTATATATAAATTTATTTAAATATATTAAAATAATATATTAAAAACAAAAATAAAATTTAAAAATCAATAAACTAAATCAAATGGATAAAATTTGATTCGAATCAATTTAAAAAAAAAAATTTATATTCAGATAAAATTTTAAAATTTTAAAATATTATATATTATCTGAAAAATAAAATCAAATTCGATTTATCACCCTAATAACTAGAGTTTAAAGTTTAAATGAATTATAGTTGACTATTTCTGATTGAACAAAACTTACATGAAATTATTTAGATGAAGTTTATGAACTTCATTCTTCAAAATAATTTAATAAAATTTTAATAAAATATCCAAATCAATAAATTGATAGAATTTAATGTGAATATCAATAACATGTAAAAAAATCATTAAAAATATTATTTATATTAAAAATTTGATCTATATTTATTCAATAGTAAAATTCTATCAATTTTTTTATTAAAAATGCCTATCTAAAAATATATATATATAAATTTTTCAAAATTTATACACTTAATTTATATAAATTTTTTAAAATTTTTAAATTTAATTTAATTATATATAATAAAAATTTTATAAATTTTATTTAAAAAATTTCATCTAAGTTTTTCATTGAATAAGTCTGCAAGTCCGATGTCACAAAATGCAACATAGGCCGCTATTGGACTTGAAGACATTTTCCTTGCAGCAGTTGAAGATGGGCATCTTTGCTGATTCGGCCCCGAAAGGTAAGACTCAGCGGGGACCCGATTTTAAACTTTAGGAGGAAGATCAACGGTCCTAAATTGAAATTCGAAAGACAGCATTATGGCAACCGGCATTTCTATTGTCCACCAATAGAGACGGTAATCAATCCTGATCGGACAAATTGTCAAAAGCACAATTCCGATAAGAATGGCATCAGTCACTGTCACATATATGGTTAAAATGCTTTAATAATTGTTTATCGATATTATCTAAAGCTCACCAAGAGTCATAGCCACATGATCCATTCCAAAATGACCAAAATCATGACTCGTCTGCCTCTCCTCCACCTTTTCCTCCTCCTATCCACCACCTTCACCGCAACTGCTTCCAGTTCCGCCTACCCTTCTGTCCCAACGGACTGCACTGTTTCTACAGGGGATGAGAAACTGGTTCCTGTTAGACGGGAGGTTTATGATGATGGGAGAATCTTCGATATTAGCCACAGGTACACTCCGGACATTCCATCATGGGGGAACAATGACGGGCTGGGTCAGTTCCTTTGGCTTCCTGCCAGCATGAAGAATGGCTCTCTCGCCAATAATTCTGAGATGAAAATGCCTACTCATTCTGGCACGCACGTTGACGCGCCGGGCCATATGATTGACCGTTACTTTGACGCTGGTTTTGATGTCGACACTCTTGATCTTGAAGTCCTTAACGGTATTCTTGTTTTATTGATCACTCCTATTGCAATTATTCTTCTTCTTCTGAAAGACTTTGGTGACTTTTCTCTTATTACCAATGATAAGATCTTGGTATATGTTTGACTGCTTAACATCTGTTCATTACCACAGGTCCAGCTCTGTTGGTTGATGTGCCGAGGGACAAGAACATCACTGGTATCTATATCCAACTACGATTCTTTGAATTAAGTTGATTCTTTTTTCTTTGGCATTGGTAATGGGTCCTAATGATCAAACAATTTACTGGGGCATAATCTGATAAGAACTAATAAAGATTTTTTTTTGGTTGCAGCCGAAGTCATGGAGTCATTGAAAATTCCCGAAGGAGTGCGTCGTGTGCTTTTCAGAACATTAAATACCGACAGGTAAGATCATTCGATATTGTTCAGTCTATGGCATAGCTGTCCTTTTGTTTGGACTTTCAGATTGTTAGAGTAGCAGATTGCATTATTGAGGAGAAATGATAGTTATGGGTTAAAAATTTATCAATTTCAGACGGCTTATGTATACAAGGGAGTATGACTCTAGCTATGTTGGATTTACAACTGATGGGGCAAGATGGTTGGTAAAGAACACAGACATCAAACTTGTGGGTAAGATGCAGCTTTTGTTCACAAAGTTTGAGTTATGCGCAAAATGATGCATGTCGATTGCTGGGATGTCTATACATTTACTGTATTAATTTGATTTCTGACGGCCAAGGATGTTATCTGTTTCAGAGGATGATAATTTGGTTTCAGCTCATCTTGAATTTTTTGTTTTTGTTACTTTAAATCCTTGCATAATGAATACTGGAATTGACATATTTGACTGTCTTGAACTATAGGAATCGATTTCTTATCTGTTGCAACCAGTGATCATTTGGTTTCAGCTCATCTTGAATTTTTTGAAAGCAGGGTAAGAAAATTGTTCTTCTAGAACGGACAAATTTGTAACATTACATGGCTTAAGGAACAAGGACGATGACCACTGAATTTGGTTAAGCAGATCTTACTTTTCCCTCATCCAATCTTTTAGCAGATTGATAGTGATAGGTTTTCAAGACAACACAAGACGGAAATGGTATTTTTACTATGCTGAATTGGAATGGCAAGATTGAATCACTGACATTATTCCAATTCCCATCTGCTCCAGGAAATCATTCTGGTGGAAGGCTTAAAACTTGATGATGTTCCAGTTGGATTGTATTCAGTCCATTGCTTACCTCTAAGGTTGCTTGGTGCTGAAGGATCACCCATCAGATGTATTCTCATCAAATGATACATGTAGTGTAAGTCTTTCAGTGTTATACAAGAGATTTGGTCATAGTATAACTCCAAATCCTATCTATTGAGCCTATGGTTTTATGGAATTGAAAGAAATAATGTTGCAGGAATCAATGATATAACTCTGGAATCTGGAGGGTTCGAAAACTGATCAGAGCGGCGAGATATGTAGCAGAGGACTTTTATAAAATGTAATAAAAGTGGTTCTTTCAAATAACGAAGAGAATTGGCTATCAATAAATTAGCTGTTCATTTAGACATTTGTGCTGTGTTTGGTTGGTTGAATTTGATTATATGTATATTTCCTTCTGTTAATGGAGTATGGGAAATTATCCATTTGGGGGGGGGGGGGGGGGGGGATGGGAGAGGATGCTCTGCATTTTGGACAAAGATTTGGGATTGATTCTTGAATGAAAAACATTTCTGCTCTTCTCATATTCCTTCTTACATTTGGAGAGAGATATTCCAAAACACTGAATCAATAGTTCACTTTTCAAATTCATTTGTTAACAGCAGAATTAATCTTATTCTTTCAGATCAACACTTTGTATCCTCGATGGAAGCCTTGCCACTCCACCTGTATTCCTTTTGTTAACTGAAAGAAGAAATTGTTTTTTGTCCTCCGTAATGGTTAAAGAATTCTTAGAAGGACATAAAAGTTTTAATTTCGTATAAAAATTTCTTCCTTAGATTATGCCTATCCATTAAATAAAAATATTTATTTTATAATAAAATTTTTAAGCGAGAGAGAACTTATATTTGAATTACGTAACTTTTAAATTATTCGTTTCGGATATCAAATCTAAATCTTAAGGGTGAAGTATTTTATTTTATTAACTCAATCAAATATATATAAAAGAAAATGTTGGCTAACAAATTTCAACCATCATTTTGTTTTGGAAAGACAGACCAATAGAACAGTTTCATGATATTATGTTCAGATTTTAAAGATTAGATACAAGTTTTATAAGATGAGATGATAGTGAATTACTACTTTCCATTATTATATAATTCAAGATTTACTAGTCAATTTTTCTATGTACTAAAATATTTTTTAAGTTTTTTTTTTAAGATAAATAATAAAAAATTTAATCTTATTTTTCTGATAATAAAAATTTTAAACCCATGTATTAAAAAAAATAGTTAAACTCATAAGTGGAGTTGAAATATATACTTCATTGACTGTATTTATGAAAATTAATATTTAATTATTGTTAAGCAAATACATGACCATTAATATATAATTTTAGTTGGAGAGTTTTATTTGTTTTTGGAGATAATCAATAACTATATATTAAAACAATCTCATGAAAATTATTATAATGCTCCTCTGTTTATTTGATAAAGTATTGACATGTGTTTAAATTTACTATAATAATTTTTTATAATAATCACTATAATAATTATAGAAATACCAATCTTCTCAAAATTTGTTATTATTACTGTAATGTTCTTTTGTTATAATTATGAAAATATCATTTTTATTATAATTTGTCAAAATTATTATAATATCTTTTTTATCATAATTATAAAAATAATCTTTTACCATAATTAATCAAAATTATTATAATGCTTTTAATGTCATAATTAAGAAAATATCTCTTATATTATAATTGACTAAAGTTATTATAGTGTTTCCTTCTACCATAATTATGAAAATATATTTTTACGAGTGATTCATAAAAAGTTGACATATACCATTTTGTTTTAAAATTATTATAATGCCCTATTAAATTATTTATTAATCTTTAATATAATATAAAATTAATCACACATTAAATTACGAAAATACTATTATTATTACTTTATAAAAATTTGACATGTGACATTTTATTTAAAAATTATTATAATATTTATATTCAATTACATATGAAATTTTAATATGATATAAAATTAACTACTTATTAACTTATTAAAATATTTTTGTCATTTTTTATAAAAATTTGATATGTGGTATTTTGTTTGAAATTTATTATAATAATCCTATAAAATTATATGTTAAATTTTAATATAATATAAAACTAATTATATATTAAATTACTAAAATATCTCTATTAAATTACTGTTAAATTAATTACATATTACATTACTATAATAAAATAAAAATTAAAAAAATATATAGTATGACAAATATAAATACATAAAGACATAAGAAAAATTAAATTATTTTTATTTTGTTTTAAATATTTTTACAAAAAAATTTATGAACTACAATAAATTGAAAATCATACATGATCAAATAATTAATAAAAATACAACATGCAAAATATAATATAAAAATTAACCGAAAAAAAACTATAATCGTAATATATAAAAAATATATATATTAACTTTAATACTTTATAATATTTTTATTTATTTTTATATTAAAAAATATAAATTTAATAAAATAATAAAAACTTAATTCACTCCAACTCAGCGAGGCGACTGTTTCCACTAGAAGATCAAATCCAAGTAAACGAGACTCTCTCTCCATGAAAAACGGATAACAAACACCTCCTGTTAAGCCGGCCTACATAGTATACAAAATTACAAATCTCACGCTCCCCAAAGCGCGCGTGACAATCCCCACACTAAGCCATTGATTCGAGCGCGGACTCTAAACGCAACCAAGTTCCTACATATCCTCGTCAAACGCACTTCACTTCACTCTACTTTCCAACTTCCACGATGATCCCTCTCTTCTTCCACTTTCTCCTTCTCTCCTACGCCTTTACTTCCACCGCTACAACCGCATATCCTTCCATCCCCGGCACCGATTCTATCACCGACTGCGGCCTCTCGGGAGGAGACGAGAATCCAATCCCCATCCGTCGCGAAGTCTACGGTAATGGCAGAATATTCGACATCAGCCATAGATACACCGCCGATATGCCGTCGTGGGAATCCAAAGACGGCATAGGACAGTTCCTTTGGTTGCCAAAAAGCATGAAGAACGGTTCCCTCGCTAATAATTCGGAGATGAAACTTCCCACCCACACCGGCACGCACCTTGACGCCCCCGGCCACGTCATTGATCGGTACTTCGATGCCGGCTTCGATGTCGATACGCTCGATTTGGAAGTACTTAATGGTAACTAATATTTAAAAAAAAAAAATCACTTATTTGATATAATCGATTTCTGATTCTACTTTTTTGGAATTTTCACCGTTTAGGTCCTGCACTATTGATAGATGTTCCAAGAAATAAAAACATAACTGGTCTGTATCTTTATCTTTTCTATTTCATATTTTTCTTGGTTTTTTCATAGTTATTTTTAATTTTATTATTATTATTATTATTTTAATTATAGCTGAGGTTATGGAGTCTTTAAAAATACCCGAGGGAGTACGTAGAGTTCTTTTTAGAACATTAAATACTGACAGGTAATTACATAACTGCTCTGACAAGCAGCTTTCATAGTTCAAAGAATACAAATTCTGAGCTTAAGTTTGTGGATTTTCAGGCGGCTTATGTTCAAGAAAGAGTTTGATACAAGCTATGTGGGGTTTATGAAGGATGGCGCAGAATGGTTGGTTAAAAACACTGACATCAAACTTGTTGGTGAGATATTGCCTTCAAATTTCTCAAAACTTTAAAATAGTTTTGGGTCTTGCTAGTTGTAGCTTGCTGACATGTTTGTCTATTCTGAAATTCAGGAATTGATTACTTATCTGTTGCTGCCTTTGATGATTTGATACCATCTCATCTTGTTTTCCTAGAAGGCCGGGTAAGAAATTATCATCTATTGTGTTAATTTTCTTCTGTGTTTTAGTTTTGACAATGTTTTTTCATTATTCCTTATACTATTTTTTGTCCAGTATGGTGATATGATCAGTTAATGTTTTGCCCACTCGAATTTGATTTCCTGCTTCATAAGTTAATGAATGGCAGTGAACTATGTTGTGTACTTTTGTTTGTATGTGTGTTTGTACTTAATTCTGTAGTCCCTTTTGGCCAAATCTGATTTCCTGGCTTATATTCCATCAACTGGATTTATAATAATGGACATTTGGGCGCCATTGCTTTCAGATATTCGCTAAAACTAAAGAAAAGAAACCTAAATATAAGTTTGGTGCACTCATTATCTAACTTAGGTAAAATACAATCCTATAATTCTCTTATGTATTGTGAAATTATTTAGTGGTCTGTTCCTTCCCTTTCCTTGGTTTCACCTGATGATTATGAGGGACTCACTCAACCATCATGCTTGGATGAACAAAGTGTTGGGGATATTGCTCAGGTCTCTCCTCATTAAATTGCAATCCTTTGGTCTAATTGTGCATTTTTCACTTGGGTTGATGGTGTTGTAAGCTGTAACTCTGCCATATCTGATCTCAGTAAAACCTAGTAAAGCCTTTCTAATGGATTTACCCACATTAAAATTGATTATCTAGTTGAGGATGATACATTTGCTCCAAGTTTGAGTTTCATTTTTTGTTTCTTTTTTCCTTCCACTTGTGTGTTAGTTATAGCCTTCTATGTCTGGAAAGTTAATCAAGCTTGAAATCAAGTTACTTTACATGTATGGTTTTGGTAGCATAAAGTCCCCTCAGTTCTGTTACTCCGAGTACTCTGATTCAAGGGTAAAAATGTGGTATAAACTGCAAGCACCTGCACATTGCTAATGCTTGTCATCTGCTATAGGAAATCATTCTTGTGGAAGGCCTAAAACTTGATGACATTCAACCTGGAATATATTCAGTCCATTGCTTACCTTTAAGGTTGCTTGGTGCTGAAGGATCGCCAACAAGATGCATTCTCATCAAATGATGTATTTTCCTTGTAAGTCCTGCACTTCTGAATTGTTTATTATTTGAAAGTAAAGCAGGCACTCATGCTACTTTGGCTTAACCTCTTAAAATGCTGCATGCTTATTATGTTAGGTAAAACAAACAATTTATAGTTTCACCTCTTAAAATGGGTATTTTTGCAGGGAAATGATAGCGTTAGAGTGTGGTGCTGATCAGAATAAGACAAAAAATGGGTTTATGAGTTAGAACTGGATGGGGAGATGCAGACAGAAATTTAGTTTCATTGAAGAGCACTTTTAGCGGCCAAAAAAAGTACACTTTTCTTGTAAAATATCATATGCTATATGTTTAGGTTATTAATTGATGAGATAAATAATACTAGACACTTATTTGGTAGTGCTTCTGAATATCATGGTTGGACTAGATTTGGTCACTGATGGTAATTGTTGGGAATGATTTCTTGTCATCCTCAAATAATTTTCACAGATCCATCATTGGAAAAGCCATCTTTATGGAAGATAAATATGTGGGTTGTGTTTGTATGTGCGGCTCTTTGCTACTTTTATTTTTTTGGGCCATAACTTGTTTGTTAGCTTCATATACAGCTCGAGAGTTATACAAGTATGTTAAGCCACCGATCGGTCTTGGTATATTTAGGATGCATTTATGTGATTCAGATTGTGATTAAGTTTGACAGCTTGATTGGATTGGGAAGCAAATCTATGGTTTTGACTTGGGATTGCAACCGCTAATGCCTAACAAATTCTAGATTGTTCAGCATTCATTTGAATGCTTGGTGGGAGAACTTTTATTCTATCATGCATGTCGTTTTATTTACTGGATCAGTAGATGTCTAATGGCACATTTAGTTCACAGAATGGAAGAGAGGAAATGGAAAAAATATTTTGTTGGAATAGAAAAGGAATGATTAGCTATTATGATGTTTGGTTCATTAGAATGAAATATGATAAGAATATTAATATGTTTGGTTAGTTCAAATAATATAATTAGAATAAACTTAAAAGATTATATTACCTTTTTATTAATAATTTATTAAAAAAATTAATTAATGATTAATTAATAAAATTTATTTATTAATTTATTTATGTATGTTATTATTAATTAATAAAATTTAATTAATAATTATTATTTTTAACATAGGCTTTCTCTCGCGGTTAAAGCTCCATTGTAAAACTTGTACATGAATATGATGAGGGAAATATTTCTTGGAAGAAATAAAATTTCGAAGGGAAAAAGCTTCATAAAGATCAATTTGGTGCTTCCATATCTTAGAGAGCCCGGAAATTTCCAAAATGGGAGGAGAGTTTTTATGCAAATCTGCCTTCGGGAAGCATGTGGCAGAATAGAAAAATGTGAAAAAGCTAAAACACATCCTAAATGTTACAAAGTAAAAGCTCATCTGCAAAGGACGGTGTGTTGGTATTGCCACGGATAGACTAATTAAGAAGGATGAAATCGTAGGCGGTGGTAGCGGCTCTTTCTCGCGGTTGGTGGAAATTTTCAGCTCATTTCAATCGACTTTGGTGTTAGCAGCGACCGTCAATGGCTAGATCTGGGCTCCAACAACTTGTTCTATTACCGGTGAATTTTCAACTATCCGTTGAGTTCTCTCTCTCGTATCATGAAATTTTAAATTTAAGAAAAGGGTTAAATGATATTCATTGATGGGGGGTTTGAATTGCTATTCATTGATTTTGGGAAATAGAGTCTGAAATGCAATTACAAAACCATTAAACGAACCAAATCTGTGAATAACCATTCATCATTCCATTTCTCCCAACCAAACGTGCACCAAAGAGACTCTTGGTCTAACCTGAGATTAAGATAAGCTGTCACAAATTCAAAGGCTGTGAGCCCCGTCGTTTCGATGCAAAAGGGATGCAAGCGCAAGAAATTTTGGGTTAGGCTTATCATTATAATTTTTTATGGTCATGCATTTAGGCTTGTTAGTTGAATCACGGAAAAATACAAAAGCCCATAATTTTATTTATTGACTTGTGTTTCCTTCTTTTTTTTTTTTTTTTTTAAATCTGTAAAGAGACAAGTGAGTACCGAATCGTCAAAACTCAAAACCACGAGGGCGGCCGAAGTTGAAAATTTAGACTTACCCGTCGACACGAAATTCATGTGGCGAAAGTTTGCCTTTTAGACCACAAAAAAAAAAAAGTCATCAATTTCTATATTTAATATTAGCAAACTTTTTTCTTTTTCTCAAATATCAACCCAATTTTTTATTAGCGAATGCTTTGTAGTTTTGATTATTGCAATTTTTTTTATAATATTACGGACATAATTTTGGAACTTTAGTCTTGCAAGTTTGCAGGCAGATTTCATTTACAGCAGGACAGGATAATTTGTGACCTAGTTTTCAGCTTTCAATGTTTGTCGCCTGTGTGGTGTATCGGGATGCCAAGTGCCACTACACTATTTAAAACCGTAGATATTTTACTATAATTTTCATCATTAACCAATGCAAGTCTTAATCAAGGCTAATAATTCATTTTCCTATTGACTTCAATGCTAAGATCTGATATGGTTGGCAATATCTGCAAAGAGTGTCTGATTTTCCGTCAATCAACAAACACCAGATTCTTTTTGTCTGAAATTTACTGCTCTACTTACCAGTAACTACCAAGCTCAGAACCATGAACAAAAATAAGCTCCTGCTACTACTTTGTGCTGGTATGTTTACTTTAAGCATCCTCTCCAGTGCCGATGTAGCTTATGGTAATGGCAAAATCTTCGACATAACTCACAAAATCACTTCTCGGTTGCCAACTTTTGACTCCAAGAACGGGCTTGGTCAGTTCATTTGGCTTGTCTCCAGCATTAAAAATGGCTCCATAGCAAATATGTCTGAGTTCAAGTTGGGAACCCACACCGGCACTCACGTTGATGCTCCTAGCCACTTCTTTCAAAAGTACTATGAAAAGGGGTTTGATGTTACTACTCTTAGCCTGCAAGCGCTTAATGGTAAATTTGGTATCATAAGCCTGTCATTAATTGTTTCCTACTGCAGTTTTCTTTTCTCCTTAATGGCTCATCCACATTCTTAATTTCTTTGCTTGATTTTGCATAATACATGTTACTTTTTTCTCTTTCATCTCTCTGATTTGCCAGAGCTGGGATTTGATTGCTATCCTTCTTATGTTTTTTGTCGTCAATCAGTCTGTGCATTTTTTGTGTGGGTATTATAAATGAGCAAACATGTCTTATTGTTTGTGTAGGTCCTGCTCTAGTAGTTGATGTTCCAAGAAATAAGAACATTACTGGTATGTATTCCTAATGGAGTTTCCCCCCTTCCTTTTTATCAGAAATCTGTTTACCATATTTTCTAGTTTCTGCTGAACTTTTGTGTCTAAATGTCACTTCAGCTCACTTAGAATCATTCATTTTTCTGGGAGTCATTTGCTGCTATACCTATCATTTCTAATAATATCAGTATAAAGTAGTAATAACTGGATTCATCAAAAGACCTGGTCTGATATTTTACAATCAAGGATATTTTCGAGCTCAACCTAGAGTTTTGGCTACAGAACATCATAAAATAGATCTCTCTGCATCACAAAGCAGATGTTGGCTCACTATTATAAAAAGTTAACTCCTCTGAATTTCCCCCTTTTCTGATGGCAAGTTGGTAGCATTCATCTATCATCTTTAGTCTTTGTGAACTTCTATTTGTGTTGAGCTCTGGTAAGTAGTAACTAACAGATGCTTCCAACAGCTGAAGTTATGAAGTCTTTGAAAATTCCCCGTGGAGAACATCGTGTGCTTTTCAAAACACTTAACACTGACAGGTAAATATAAATGTGCTTGCATCATTTATATGTCTGCATTTACATATGCATAAAGCAAATATAGTATAGTTGCCTCCTATCAGAGTATTTTTGAAGCATGACAAGATGTCATTAATGATATTGACTCTACTTTATATGTTGATTTTAACTTTTGTTGTGTTCCCCAGATTTGGGATCACATTGTTGGTATATTTTCTCTTTTTCCATTTGTGAACTTTTAGCCTTAAATGAATAATCCCAGAAGCATGTTTGTATGATATTAAAACACTGTCATTTGTGGCAGCTTATTTTTGTTAGCAAGAAACATGTTTAAGGTACAAATCATAGGCTAATATTAAGAGACTCTACGGGATTGACTTGTTTAGGCTTTAAGAAGAAGAAGAAAACCAGGCAATTAGTCAAAGAAATTTCATTTTTTCCCATTGGCAAGTGAATATCATGTCAGTCAACTGTAGTCTTTTGCTGGTCTTGCTATCAAGGCCCTAATCTGAGCTTGTATCTCTTGAGCACATGTTGAATGAATTATCTACGATCATACTGGGGAAGTCACTGTAAACATAGAAATGGAATGCTTCTATATATTAAAAATGGGATGTCCTGTCACTATCTTATAAGTGTTAATTGTCAATATCTCTATCTCATAGGTGTTAATTGTCAATAGCTAATGTTAACTACTTTAATAAATGTTACTTACCCTAATAAATTGAGAATGACTATTGTAATGTGATATAAAGGAGATACAGGGCTTAGAGAAACATAGACTCTCATCCTTTCTTTCTTTAGTCATCTTCTTCTTTTGCTTTTCTATCTTTTTATTTTTATCTTAATTGGTATCAGAGCTTTGTAAAGAATCTTGTCTATTATAGTATGTAAAAATCAGTATTGAGATATATATACATATCTCAGCTATCATTGTAAGTATTTTTTTACTTTCTCAACTTTTAATTTTTAGCTTTATGTTTTAAAATCCATATGTTCGTTAACTATCTCTATACTAGTGTTATGATTTTGTTGTTGCCTTTAAATCTAACCTTAGAGTTCTTTTTATGGTATACAGACGGTTTTAGGTACCAAGAACATGGAGCAAAAAGTTGAAAACTGTGTTTGTTCATAAAAACTTCATAATTATAGTTTGCATATGGAAATTTTATAGGATTTGAAATCCAAATTTTCTGCTTTAACAAACTCGATTGAGAAGATGATAGTTTATCATCATTAAACGTAAGAATAGCATTACCATAATATAAAGGTCCAAAGCCATTTGTTTGACTTTTATCTACTTCTAATAATTCTAATTCTTTATTAATATTAACTAATAATTGTTTAGAATCTTGGTTTAAATCTAACCTAGTAACTTGTCCTAAACTATCTATTTTTTATTCTAGCATATCAACTTTATTAAACAATTTTTTAAAGAAAGTAGTAGATAAATCAACTAAACTATTAATACTATGGTTGATTGCTGGTATATAATTTTCTACTTAGAGGATCCATATGCAGCCTATGATTATGAAATTTTTCTCAACAAACACAATTTTCAACTTCTTGCTCCATGTTCCTAGTACCTAAAACCATCCATATATACCATACAAAGATCTCTAAAGTTAGATTAAAAGGTAACAACAAAGCCAGAACACTACTACAGGGATAGTAAACAGATATATGGGTTTTAGAATATAAAGCTAAATATTAAAAGCTGAGAAAATAAAGAAATACTTACCATGATAGCTAAAAACTGAAGACCTCAACTAGTATATATATGTATATATCTCAATATTGATTTTTACGATCTATAATAGACAAGGTTCTTTACAAATCTTTGGTACTAATTACAGATAAAAATGAAAAGATAGAAAAATGAGAGAAGATGACCAGGAGGGAATGACAGTTTATGTCTTCTCTAAGCCCCGTATCTCTTTTATATCACAGTACAATGGTCATTGTCAATTTATTAGGATAGGTAACATTATTAAAGTAGTTAATGTTAGGTATTGACAATTACCACCTATGAAATAGAGTTATTGACAATTAACACCTATAAGATAGTGACTTCCCCAGTACAAAGATAATCCATCCATGAAGGTGCAAGAAGATAATCCATGTTCAAAGAGCTATTCTACACCTCTGCTCTTGTCATTAGAAATGTTTCTCCTATTGTCTTAATATCTCTTTTGTCTGGGAACTCCACTCATAAATTTTCTATAATATATATAGTTGGTTGTTCCAATGGGTTGACATGTTGGTTAAAAAGTGACACCTTTTTTTTTTCAATATTAAAAAGGCTTCTGTTCCAAACTTTAGCTTTTATTGAACCATAATTGATGGGCTCAAGGCACGAAGATAATGCTGAAAGTTACAAATGATTTCATGATAGTAAAATAATATGTCAACTTTCATGTTCAGGAGACTGATGCATAAAAAGGAGTTTGCTTCAGACTACACAGGATTTATGAAGGATGGAGCACAATGGTTGGTTGATAACACAGACATCAAACTTGTAGGTAAATTTTAGACTTGTTAACAAGAAGGACCCGCTTAGCAGGACCCTTATGTTCCAAAAATTTTGTTGGGTAAAGCATCACTATTCATATTCAACACCAGGGCTTCTGTATCTGTGCCATAGATTCTGTGCTTCAATTCTGGCTTGATGAGTACATAAAGTCAGTCCCATCATTATTTCAGTTTGTGACTCACTTCAACAGAATCTGTTAGTAAATGAGGGAAGAAAGCAACCTATGACAAATTTCCTTCTACCACTCTGCTAACCCTCTATTTTCTGAAAGTAACACTGATGTGATTTAATTGCTTAAATGGTGCTTACCTAAATCAGGAAATCAATGGAGTTTAATATAATCCCTTTCTATAGAAAATAACCACATTTGTCTGTGAATTGTAGGACTTGATTACCTATCTGTTGCTGCTTATGTTGATGCAGCCCCAACTCATCATATATTTCTAAGAAATAGGGTAAGAATCCAGAAATTTCTCTTGTGAATCTGGGAGCTTAATAGTTTTAGTTTTGTTAACTATTTTTTATTACCCCAACTCATCTATTATGACTTTCTTTGCTTTGGTTTAAAGAAAAGTGTTCCGAAGCATTACTGAAACTGCTCAAAATTCTTCAGGAAATTGTTCTTGTTGAAGGCCTAAACCTCGATGGCATAGAGGCAGGGAAGTATACTGTCCATTGCCTACCTCTGAGGATGGTAGGTGCAGATGGATGCCCAACTAGATGCATTCTCACTGCATAAAACGTTTCTCCAAGTAAGGTTCTTTCATCATCAAAACCTATTATTGTCATATTAGTAGTAGAAGTAACAATACCTGTAAGGGGTGGGTTTTATATGGTTAAAACTTCCTTTTTTTTCTAGTGGTTTGACTGTTTTATAGATTTGATGAGGAATGCTCTTCTAAATTCCTTATGCTATAATACTTGTCAGTTTGAGTAAGTATGCTCATTAAACCTTAAATTTGGTGCAGGAGGACAGGCATGAGCTATTGAGCTTCTCTTGACAGGGATGGTTTATTATATCACCAAATAAAACCTTTTGCGTATATTTGGGAATGGCTGCAGAACAATGAACTTGATAAACTCGTTGAATAAAGCGGAATCTGTACTGTGTGTCTTCCTTGATATTCAATGCAAATTCTCTTTACATCATTGTTAAAATGTATGACAAAATCAACCTTGTGGTTCTTTGTAACCACACTTGTGCTTGGTTGTTTTTTTAGTACAGAAATTCACTTCCTTAAAAAAAAAAAAAAAAAAAAAAAAACATATAGCAGGTTAATAAGAAAACCTAACCAACTAAACGTAAAAACCTGACCTTAGTCTACTCTTGCCTATGCAAAGATTTATCTGTCAGTAGTGACTCGTAAGTCTTTTAAGTCCCGCAATGGTACAATAGTTGCTGAGCATGCAACGACGTCGTTGGCTTTTCCAATTAAAACCAATAAGAAGCCGACACGACAAACAACCAAAATCCCAATGGAAAACTCAGCTCCTTCTCACTCACTCGCTCGCTCGCTCACTCAGTCACCAGCAAAGCTGTTCTTTCACTCTTCCATTATAGGCTTATGCGGAGCTAAAACCCAAATCAATAAAGAAGAAGAAAAAACAATTGAAAAAAAAATGGAGGGAGTATCATACCAGCGATTTCCCAAGGTCAAAATCCGCGAACTAAAGGACGACTACGCCAAATTCGAACTTCGCGATACCGACTCCTCCATGGCCAACGCCCTCCGCCTTGTCATGATCGCCGAGGTCCCCACCATCGCAATTGACCTCGTCGAAATCGAAGTCAATTCCTCCGTCCTTAATGACGAGTTTATCGCCCATCGCCTGGGTTCATCCCTCTCACCAGCGAACGCGCCATGTCGATGCGATTCTCGCGTGACTGTGACGCTGGCGACGGTGATGGCCAGTGCCAGTTCTGCTCCATCGAGTTCCATCTTCGAGCCAAATGCATGTCCGATCAAACCCTCGATGTTGCCGGCGAGGATCTCTACAGTTCCGATCATACGGTTGTTCCCGTCGATTTCACCGATTCCGCTGGCTACGATTCCTCTGAACAAAGGCATTTAGGGTTCTTTAGGGTTAAAATTGTAAACTACACCCAATTTTTTATTGCATTATGGTTTTTAAGATTCGCGACTTACAGAAAATAATTGTTTATTTTCAGAGGGATTATTGTTGTGAAGTTGAGGCCAGGGCAAGAACTGAGGCTGAGGGCAATTGCGAGGAAAGGGATAGGGAAAGATCATGCGAAATGGTCACCTTCTGCGACTGTGACTTTCATGTGTGAACCTGAGATTCATATCAATGAAGATTTGATGGCAACCTTGACGCTTGAGGGGAAGCTAAACTTTGTTGAGAGTAGTCTTTGAAATTGATCAAAATAGCCAACAGGTTCGCCTTTTCTATTGGAAAATCAAGAGTTTCTATTGGAGGTCTTGGAGAATACAATTTTATAGTTGGTAACTATGATGATGAAGTGATAAAGAAAATTTGGGATAATACAGCATTATGCCACTGATAGTTTTGAAGCATTAAGGAAATAGTTCGTCAGATTGGATGCTTATTTTATACTCATATTTTGTGTTGAAGGCTATTCTGACTTGCTTGAGCATCAAATGTTTCATGTACGTTGAATACATTGTTTCAGTCCCTATACCGCGAGCCAAAAATTTGAGGTTATTTTCATTTTCATTGCTGCTGCTGATAACTATGAATTCTATTTTTATTTTGAAAACAGGTTATGGTGGTTGATCCAGAGGCGTATACCTATGATGATGAAGTGATAAAGAAAGCTGAAGCTATGGGCAAGCCAGGGCTTGTGGAGATATATGACAAAGAAGACAGTTTCATTTTTACTGTTGAATCCACCGGTGCGATCAAAGCTTCACAGTTGGTTGTTAATGCTATAGAAATCCTCAAACAGAAGCTGGATGCAGTTCGCCTGTCTGAAGATACAGTGGAAGCTGATGATCGGTTTGGAGAACTAGGTGATGATCTACTTGTGAACAAGAATTGGTCATTGACATTTATAGGTTTCCGAGAAGGCATGTATTCATTTCACTAACTTCCACTTCTTTTGAAACTCTTCACATATTTGATACATAAGACTACTTGTTATTGTTCATGAAAACTAGTCAGCACATATGCCATCTATTTTAAACTTAAAAGCCTGTGAATCATGGACTGACAAATGATTTAGCTTGTACTTTGTTCAAATTATCAGCCTTTGTATTTATGTTTCTGCTTTGTTGTTTCATCGTGCCAGTGATACAGCATTGAGCTCTTAACTGGATGAACTGTATAATAGCATTTTGCTTTCCACCTCTAGTGTCTCTCAAGTCCTTTATGTATGTCAAGATGTTCACTTTTGGCGTGTGAAGTTGTCATCTAAGTTTAAAAATGACGGCTACAGTGAGATTTTTGGGGTGACTGAACTTGTGTGGTAGTAACTATATTGCTTCGTCCTTATTTAGCTTCTCTGCTTCAATCTGTATTGGTTTTTACTTATCTGATTGTGTAAATTTTGATTAGCAGATGAGACTAGTTGGTCGTGCGAAGGTGTGTGTGTGTGTGTGTGTGTGTATATATAAGCTACCTTTCATCAAAATATACGAGTAGTTGGTCATGCAATAGTTTACGAATAAATTTTCGCCTCCGCACCTTGCCAGTTCACCTAGCATTCTCTCTGATTTTCTCTTTTTTGGGGCAAATTCCCGGTTTTTGCAGGAGTTGGGGCCTTGGGGTTTAGAACCCCATCAAAATATCCGTCCCCAGAACCAACAGGGTCAAACCCCAGAATCATATAATGATGGGCCTTGATGGTGTACAAGGTATAAACCATAAATCAGGGTTTGATTGGAGTTTGAATGATTTTGTCTTGGACTGATCCATTTGGAATTGGATTGTCAGATCGGAGCCCAAATTTTGGTAAGATGTGGGAGTTTTTCTTTTTCTTTTTTTTTTAATTGTAATATGTTCTGAACAGTTCGTTTATTATTAATATATTCTTCCTGTCAAGTGCATTGTAAAAGAGTTCAGACCTGAGACCAATGGATTTTTATATGATAGGCTTCCTGCAAGCCTGTAAAATCATTAAAAACATGACAATTTGACAGCATGGTTAAATGGCGTGTTGGAAATGAGAAAGACCTCTGGATATCTGAGCGAAAGAAAGCTGTTGTTATGATGATTTTTCCATCAAGTACACTGCCAATAGATACGATCCCAATCACAAGGCAGTTAACTGTTTCAATCACTCCAATTTCGTTTTTCAATAATTAAAAAACCCGATTTCCTAATTAACATTTGAAATTTTTAGTTTTTATTTTGACAGAAGAGGAGTGGCTGAATGCGAATGCGAACTGGAACCCGAGATTTTTACAACTCAAAGAATGCACGGCCTTGTTTCAGCCAAAATCAGTGATATCTATCACTTTATTCGCCATTGAAATACTATATTCTGTCATTAAATTCTTTATGCAGCATGGTTCATGCGTGTAGTGTTACTTAGTACTTACTATGAACTGTGAAAGACAGTCACGGGTTCGACTTCTATTTAGTAAAAAACTGTGGTCCAAGTTCTTCCAATTCTGGAAATCTGGCATGGCCAAAGGCCACAGCTACTTGTAATGGTGAAAATAATGATACAAAAAATAAACCCACCAATCCATCATCTCGCTGTCAAAAAATAAACAACGAGAAATGTGATGTCTCCATCTTCTCCCAACTCCATTACTAACTCTTTGGATGCTTTTATCATCAGTTTGGCAGTAATTCTATTGTCATTTTGTGTTTGAGCTGCTTCCTTATTGTGCCTTCTTCTGGAGATATTGGGAGGATCAAATTCTGTCTGTGAGCTTTTGTAGCCATGGCGGAAAATTTTAAAATCTGCTTTGTAGTGTTGTGGTCAGTAGGGATTTTGACATTCCAACTAATTGAGTGTATTGGTAATGAAGTTCGTGAGAGTGACAAACATCATGTTACTGCAAATTTATTACAGTAAGGACCGCAAAGGGCACCAACCATGAGTGAAAAAAATCTCCTGTAAATTTAACTCAAGGGAAGTTTTGAACAGATATTTACTGCAGTTTTGTTACCATGAATAACCAAGAGAAGCACATAAACTAAGTTACAGGCCTCTCTATAATCCAGAACTTTTTATTAAAGAGGGCTTGTTTTGTGCTTCATTGTCATTTTAATAAATGACTAGTGAGTGACTACTGGGTTTTGGGATGGAAGTTTCATGAAATGCTCGTCTTTTACCATCACAAGCTTTGGAGTGTATAAAATTATCTTGAGGAGAATAATACAACTGCATTTTTCATGAAAATATATAATTGCTTTAGATTAAAGCCTTAAGTAGATTGGTTGGGCAATAGAATTCACGTGTCATTTACTTGAAACTTTTCTTTAATCCATTTAGCTTGGAGCTTTCCTTGTCTTTTTTTGGTTAAATTTTTGCTGATAATTGGTCTCAATCTTTGTCTTCCGTACTGTCATTAAAATCCATGTTCCTGGTTCACCCAAAAGCATATCTATCAAAGGAGAGGGAATGGGTAGACACTACATGTGACAAATTATATTTTTGTATTTACATATTTTGTAATTAATAAATAAAATATAAAAATTATTATATCACCGTATTAATATATTAAATATATATTTTATTTTTAATAAAATTTAAAATTTAAAATCATATTTTTTATTATTTATATATTATATCACTGTATATATCTAAAATTATAGTATATAAAGTGGGGTGTAATATCATAAACATGGTTATATAGCAAAAGATTGGCTTTTAGCGCTCACTTAAAAAACCATATAGTACAAGACCCGGTTTGAAAGTTGCGAGGCATCTTTGAAATGTTAGCTGGTTGTGGTTGGGTCACTTTAGCCTGCCAAAAGATACTCAAATCTTTGTCTGAGAAGCAGACATGGTTGCAGGGAGACAGCCAAGTTTCAAAGTTTTTGGTACATAGCTGAGGCTGACCATGGAAGACATCAAAAACTCCAATTGTCCTTTTTCCTGACCATGTAAAGTCAGGCCCCAAAAGCCAACTCTACAAGGCATGGCAAGCAATAAGTTGGGAGAATTACAAATTTGTGGGGTCTAACAATAATACTGAATAATTACTTCATAATTAATGAAAAAAATTGTAGCAACAGGTGAAATTAGTAAAAGAAATATTGCAAATTTTTTTTAAACCCTGTTCAGTAGATGTTAAATGACAAGCATCATTGCTGCATACTCTCAAATTATCTTTTGTTTTCTCGAAAGTACACGGCTTCGAAGCATCATTTGTTATTATTCAACGTTAGCAGTTGGAGCCAACATTATTATTATTATTTTTATTTGACATTTTTTATGTCTAATAATTATTTTAAATTTTGATTAATTTAAAATTGAATTGAATTGAATTTTACAAAAAATAATTTTTTTTGAATAAATTTTTTTAATTCATAAAATTTAAAATCAAAATCTTAGTTAAAAAAATCGAATCCCTCGTGTCAACAAACATGGAGAAACCGATATTTTGATGCTTATTGATATCGTTTATTCAAAATTTAAAAATTTAAAATTTAACTGAAATTTGATTATATTGATCATAACACAAGTTTTGCCATGTATTTATTCTTTTTATAACTTAAGTTGTTAAAAAAAGTCATTAAAGTAATTTTGATTTTTTTATATTTTTTTGTCTAGTAATATTTTTCATGTGTTAATTTTTACAAAATTTAAAAAAATTAATTTTAATGTATTTAATATTAAATTTTAAATTATTTTATAAAATTAAAATTTTATGATTTTTAATGTCAAAAAATCAAAAAATTTAAAATATAAAAAATAAAAATCTTAGATGTTTAAAAAAATAAAACATAATTTTGAAACATAAAAAAAAAACAAAAAAAGGAACAAAATGAATAGTTTGCATGGACTCTATGTATTGTAATTTTCTTTCAAATATTAATAAAAATTGATAATAAACCATTTCTAATTCCCCAAATTTTACCGCTTTAAAAAGTGGGGGAAATAGTGCAATGAGAGAGCCATCGGTAGTTTGATGAGTTTACCCTTCCAAGGCCCATCCACCCCATCACCCCTGTTCTTTACTACATTGAATGCTTATTGTCTCCACTTATCCCCCATTAATTATTTTTCTTTTCTTTTTTTTTCTTAAGTGCCTACGCCACCACTTCTCAGTTCTCCCTTGAGATATAGGCTTCCTAAAAATTAAAAAATAAATTATTAAGTGTACAATTCGACCTCGTTGAAGGTTCTATTGAATAAGGTTCCCCCTTGGGGATCTTTTAGTTCAAGGTTTAATGGAGTTCCGTTATTCTCAGGACATGGCTGTCCTAAGCTGGGTAACAAACTGAGTGGCCATGAAACAAGTTGTCAGTTCATTTAGTATGTTAGATAGGCTTATTTATTAATTAGACAAGTCAAGCTCACTGATGATCTGTTGCTTCAGCTTTTATGAGTGATGCACTGTACTATTGCTGAGGGCTCAGTGTCTTGTTGGACTGTATTAAGAAGAAGGATAGTAAATCAGGTTTAAAAAAGTGAAAAACAGAGCACAGAGCCCACATTCTTATGGCCTTTGAGGTCAAATTACAACTCATGCATGGCAGTAAAATCCAACATTTATTCATTATCTCGAATCTTTGAAACACTCTTGACTCGATTCATTTACTATTTTCTAAACGAGGACTTGATCTAAATGCTAGTTTAGGGTCACTGTTAGAACATATATTTTTTTACCTCTTTTTCTTTTCTTTTATTCCAAAGTTCTTATTTGAATAAAGTTACATGATGTGTTCCCACAATAATGAAGCAAATTGTACAAAATTCAAGATAGGGTTACATTACATAGGCTTGGGAGACATGGTTTACGATCTTGGCATTTCATGGAGATAGTGACCACTGCCAAAACATTGTATCCTATGGACTAGTATCGACATTAATTATTTAAAGAAGGGATGTAACAAGGACTTGGCACAATTATTTGATTCACGCTATTGATGTGCAATGCAAGGCGAGTTGACAGTGGTTTGGGGCCTCTATTTCTGATTTCTTTGGGGCCATAGCAACAATTGCTGCTGCATTTGGTCCCCAGGGCCACATATACATATATACATGTACGTATATATTTAATACTATATTGATTTACTTCTTCAGAGTTTGAGAAATATTTTACCTGTTTGTTCACTTCACTTTTAGGCCATCACATTACAATGGCACTGGCATATGGTAGACTTTTAGATTAAGGTCAAGATTTGCCATTCCGTGGAAGCTATCCATATTCTATGGGAAACATTTCCCTGTATGTTTTCTTCTTAGCAGCTCAACTCCAAATTAAGCAAGAGCAAGTATTAAATCCGACTTTCTTGATAAAGAGGAAAGCTCATTATTATTATTATTATTCTCTGATTACCAAAGAGATCGATATAGAGTAAGGATGAAAAAATTTATGATATCATTGTCTGTTGAAAATTGAAACTAATTACCCTTGACAGTTCAATATGACAATAGCCTCTGCAACCTTGAACAATATTTGCAGGAAGATTTAAAGCCCACATCTAGAGTTACCAGTCTTACTCTTACGGATAACAAACAGATAACTTAGTCAAGAAAGGTGGATTCCCACAACTCACGTTGAATTTTATGTTTTGTTGGAAAACATTATTGAAAGGTTGGGATCATAACATTTTGGCAGTGGTTTCAGTCAAAAGCACCATAGATTGCCTAGTGCTAAAGATGGAAGAAGCTAGTATAAAAATTAAGTAACCCACGTATCTGTTTTTTTACTGCTATTTCTTTCTTGTCAATTTTGTTTCCATTTTCTCTGTCAACATAAAAAGAAAAGACAAGAATTGAAAACCCATGGTTGAGATAAGGACCCACAAACCTCTATGGTCATCTCCTTTCTTGTCCTTTAAACTTTTACAGTTGTAAGCAAGAAAAGAAAATATATAAATGGCAGTAGGGCAAAAATTTTGGAAAATAGTACTCCTCCATTGGTAGTCTCCCTTAACTTCGGTGTATATATATATAATATTAATGAAGAAATAAGAAGGAAAAGTAAGAATATGTTGAGAGAGAGAGAGCAGGTCAAAAGAAGGTTTTAAGTTGAGGAGGCCTAAAGCCATGATCATATTATTCTACAATTATTGGTGTGGGACATACTTGACCTCATTGAGTCTTTGGAGCAAGCTGTTTCCCTTTGAAAAAACCAACACATTCCTCTTTCTTTTCTTCTTTGTCTCTCTCATGAATCATGAGCACCTGTACAATCTACAACTTACCAACCCTAAAGACAATCTCCTGTAAAATGCCCCCACCAATATCCAACATGGTGCTTTATAGAGGATTTAGTGTGATTTTTAACATTTATGAAAGTCAAGAGTTGCAATTGATGCATGTTAATACGAGGAAATTGTGTTAACATTTTAATTTTCAAATAATATTAATTGAGTTTGTATTTGCTTACTGTTAATAAATTGTATAATAATAAATTATTAAAAAAATATTTTTTTAATGATGAATCATTATATAATTCACTACCAGTGCATAATATTACATATTAATAGTATATAAAAAATAAATTTTATTGTATTTACCCAATTTAAAGAACTAAAACGCAAAATTATAATCGAAAAAAAATGGCTTTGAATGATCATGGAGGGAGACCAATTATTTTCCCATAAAAGGTGGATAAGCATGCTCTTTTTTTTTTTATAGATTGAACACGGCTACAAAAGAATCCCTAAATATTACCATTCAACACGTGAAAAAAGTAAAAGAAATTGTTCTCCCACCCTTATAAAAAGATTAGATACCATATTCTTTTCTTTTTAAATACGATAGATTCTATTTTAAAAGGAACACAAAATAAATAAATTATAGTATAAAGTTTTCGAGGCATGCTATAAGGATTAATCATGTTAGTAAGGAGAAATTTTCTATTTTTCTATTAATCATGATTCGATCTTTGTGAAGGATAGAGTAAAATTCTTAATTGATTATCCAATTATCACAAAAATTTTTATTAGATCAGTAAATTTTAATTTATCGTAACAAAATTACTAAAATTTGAAATGCTAATCTATCAAATTTAGTCATCTTAATGAATCCATCCAAAAATTGACGGAAAAAATATGTGATTGTCACGTCAGTTGCTCTGTCAATTAAATTGATTAAATGGTTGAAGAGAGTGAGAGGATGAAGAGAAAGAATTTTTATTCAAACTATCTTCGTAAGGGTGAATTTGATGTTGCCAAAGTTTAAATTTCCTCTTACATCTTCGTTATATTATGGGTGTAGCGAGACCTAGAGCCTGTGTCGTCTAAACGACTGTTCATCGCCGCCCTTCTGTACCAAAAAAATGAAGTCTTGTGGTGGCCTCTTACGGTGGTGATAGCGACGGCTAATGGTGGCCGGAAAACAGAAGCTTACAGAGAAAGTAGGGGATCTGTTGAGGGAAAGAGTAGAGAGAGTGAAAAAAGAAAATAGAAGGTGAGTTTTTTAAAACTTTTTTCTAATCTTCCAAAACTCACCGTTTTTGAAACCAACTATTGAAAAATGGGAGGCAAGTCTAATCTGATTAAAGTTAAGGAAAGGATACAAAAAGGGTAGATTCGATCAAATAAAAGTTAAGGAGGAAACATCCCATTTGTTTCAAAAGTATCGAGTAAGAATGGTAAAAGCATTTGTTCAGCATTCTTTTGCCTGTCGTTTAATGCTGTCTTTCAATTTCATCAACATTTTTCCCATATGCGCGTGCGTTTCCAACTTTAAGTTATTCATAACTTCAATTTGTAAAAGCAATAATTTTCAAATTTTATAATTATTTTTCAATAACCTTCGTATGTTATTCACTAACCTAGGACAAACTACACAGGTAACCTTCTATAAATATTTAGTAATATTTTTAAGTAATTATTGAAGTATCAGACAATTTTATAATTTTTTCAATAAATTCAGTTTATAAAATTAGTAATCATAAAATAAATGATTATTTTTTTAATCTTAACATATTTAATAATATTAGACGTGCTTTGTCAATAACTTCTATCAATATTAAGAAATATAGAGTTTCTTTTATACAAAAGTTGCAGAGTTCGAGAAAAAAAAGTTAAAATTTAAATTTAAAATTTTTTAAATTTTATCTCTTAAAAATAATTATATGAATTAATTGAATTAAATATTGAATTGAATAATATAAAATTATTAAAAAATTAAATAACTATAATTTTTTCAACAATCATTTTCTTCAAATTTAGTAATCTCAAAATGTTTTTTTTTATAACCTCCAACTATCATTTTAACATTGTAAAAAACTTCTATAGATATTTAATAATTTAGTATTATTGGTACAATTAAGTAGTTTTATAACTCTCTCAAAAATCTTAATCTACAAAATTAATAATATAAAGTAAGACATATGTCACAATTTTAATTTCATTTGTAAAATTAACAAATTTTATTAACAATCTATCAAATAATTTCTTATATGATAAATTATGAAATATATTATTAGTATAATTTTTTAACTACACAAATAAAATTAACAAAAAACAAATTTCCTTAAAATATATTAAAAATAAAAAATTAATTAAAAAAGATATATGTGTTATCATATTAATTTAGTTTTATAAAATTAAAAAATTTCACTTACAATGTATTAAATAATTTTTTATTATATTCTCTAATACTCCTATACTACCATATATCATATCAATTTTATGGATTTTATTTTTCTTGTTATTTCTGTCTTTCAAATAAATGAATTGGAAACGAAATTGATTTGTTTAATTGTGATTAAGATGAGACAGAATTAATGTTTTTGAATTCTTTATTAATGACCATTGACTTCTGCATAAATAGCTCAAGGCCCACTCAAGCTTCTTGCTTACTGGTTACTAGTACTAGACAGTAGACGCTCCTAGCAAGGCGCGTCGAGGGAAGGACAAGGAACAATTTAGATTTGTGTAGCTCATTGACTTGACCATCCGTTTATGGACAACTCCTACAATTGAGTTGAGCCAATAGAAAATCCAAGAGCATTAGACGGTTTGTTTTCCCACCCAAATTCATGCCTTTAAGATGTTTAATATCCATGGGTTAGTATTTGATGTATTAATAGTATATAGATGTTATAGATTATTAATTAATTATATAATAATATTTTATTAATGAATAAAAATAAAAATTTATATTTAATATTTTATTAGTATATAAATTTTATATATTATTAATTAATCATATGATGATAATTTAATAATAAAAATATTTTTTAATCAAGTTTTAGGATATTTATTTAAAAGTTTATACAAATTTATGTTTGTTAATTAATAAGATGATATTATTTAATTTATTAATAATGTAAATTTTATATATTGATAATATATCAAATATAAATTTTAAAAAATTAAATTCTTAAAAATAAATATTAATAAATTATTCAATAGCTTTTCTCATTTAATTTTAAAGATCTAACTATTTTTTATTTTATTTATTAGTAAGATATTAAGATTGATTGGCAACGTAGAGCATTTATATACTATTAATAAATCAAATTTAAATCACATTTACAATTTAAATTTTAAGAATTTTTTACCCTGGTTTTTTTAATAAAAAATACCGCATATTTCCAAAGGCCAAAGATTAGGTTTATTTAAAGAGAGGTTAGCACTTGCGGCGAGGTCAAAACCCACTAACCGACAACCTCTTTCTTCCTTCACATGCAAACAAACCCTTTTTTTTTAATTCCAAATATAAAAAATTTTCCATACCCAAAAACGGATACACCATCACATTAATAAATAAAAACGATTTTGTCAGTCATTGTTGCTAATGAGAGTAGTTGACACAAACAAAAACAATCCAAAAGATTAATACAGCTAAAACAAATTTATCTCTAAATTTATTTTATATATGATATGATGATATATATTAAACATAATTCCATATAAAGTATGCTTTGAAAAGAAAGCTGCAGATGAAAAAATAGTAGAGGTTCCAAAGGCCAAAGTCATACATAGAAGCAGAGTTTGCGTACATTCTTCAATGCATTTTTTTTATAATCTATTTTTTCCCTCTTTTTTTTGTCTGATTTGCCCCCCTCCCATTACTTGGACATAAAAGATTTTGGGGCATTCTTGGAATTTGTAGAGATGGGAAGGCAAAGCGGGTTTTTTTTTTTTTAACTAATTAAAACTTGATTCCTTGAACCAAAAGAGATAAAAGCATAATAAATATAAATCTTTTTGGGACAGAGAGATTAAGAAGGGCTGCCAACTATTTCTACAAAGACTTGGTTGAGTGATGGCAAATGCATTCCTTGTTCATGGGCTCTGCTCTTCTTAAAGGGTGGCTCAGGTGATGACGATACAGAGACCGATGACGACCCCACAGTCCAAGAATCGTTTGAGCTATCACTGCTAAACGCAGCATTAATCACGCCATTAGGGCTGCTAGGAACCGTCTCAAGCTTCCTCTTATGGGGATGTAGACGATTACTACATGCATTGTTTTGGGGTCTTGTTGATAGATCAAGTATGAGCTTGTAACAGTCAATTACTTTTTCCTGTTGCAAAGCAGTGGAAACAATAAATTTAAAATATGATACTATTGTTGCGTACTCCATTTAATAATGTGCAAATTATTTGCTATTAATGGAAAAAAATTTTAACACAAAATCTTGACATTAAAAATAATGAAGGGGCCAAATTAACTACTTTAATGATTAAACACTAACCTTGCTTATTTTAAGAACACTTAGAAGTTGGTTTTGGTAGTCAATCGGATTGAAAGGCTCAACTTGGTCTATAACGTGCATCATTGTTGCAGTGGCCAATACTGAGGGGAGATAATGGACAAATCTTGAATCTACAAACACCCAAAAGCAAACATAAAGACCAAATGATGAGAGAAAAACACAAAGGGTATTTTTTTGTCCTTTTGCTAGCTGTTCTCAATGAATCTAAGCTAACGTCGAAGTGGAACTTGACAGAGCAATAATGGAATGCATACCAGAGATTACACAGAGGAGGACACGCTGACATCTCCTAAGAAACTCCCAATGGAGATGAGTCTTCAATCCAAGCCTTCTTATGATGTGATCAAAAAATGATAGTGGGGTAACTGGATGCATCTTCCATTTCAGAGTGGAGAGAACCAAAAGCTCCATTCTTTGAATAGTTTTGGCCTCAAAAACATATTTTGTTTCCTCAACCTTAAAACGAAACGAAAACAATCACATCTTATTGAGTCTCAAAATAGAGAAAGGATGATAATTTAACTGGAACATATTAGTCAGATTGTTGTTTTGAACGTACTTGTAGGTCTAGAAGAAGAGGCACTTGTGTCTCTTCAACTTTTGCAGCCAAAGAGAGACAAGTCACGGCTACAAGGTGGATCATCCAGGGCTTATCTCTTTGAAAGTGGAAGCTACTTAGGAACCTATCCAGATAATTAATGGAAAGCACAACTGTGAGAGTGGAGAATCCGTAGCGAGCATTGACTTTAAGCATCCACTCCACAGCCTCGAGGCGAGCCACTTGTAGAGACTCATCAGTTTCCTCAATGTTGGGATTGAGATAAGCCGACTGTTGCTGTTTTTCTTTAGAGAAGATTGAAAGAAGTTCCTCATCTTCCCAAAACAAATCTTGCTCCAACAACAAAAGTGGAAAAAGAGAAGGGTTTCTGTCATTATCACATCTCCTGGACCTTTCTTCCTGGAAAACTTCACCTACGTCATTTTCATCCTCTTCCTCTTCCCATCTCTCTTCTTCACAGTAAAGAGCATCTAGCAAGAAAGAAGGGTGGTTCTGCTCTTGTTCCTGTTGTGAATATTGTTGTTCATATTGTTGGATTGCCATCTTCTTCCACGAAGAAGAAGGTTTTACGTCCACCTACCTCATTATACAAAGGAAAACATCCACGATGAAAAGCTGTTTGAGAGACCCAACTCTCTCAGCTATCTGGCTTTTGCTTAGGGTAAGTGCTAAAAGACAGCGTAGAGTGGCTGACTAATAGCTATGGATGGGATAGAGATGGGAGAAAGAGTAAAAGGCTGAGAGAAGGAAAGAAAAAGAGAAGAAGATTGATTTTTATCAGAGTGGGTTTCACGCTTGTCCTTTTGTTTAATCAATAAAATATTTGTGTGTTGTGAGTTGTGAAATGGGTTTTAATATATTTTGGGGTTTTGGAAAATCTTTTTGTTTTGCTTTCGGTGCGTTTCGTTGGCGGGCAGAGAAATGCAACGGCACGCACACCAAGCAGGACCCCCCCATGAAAGCTACTCTCCTTATTATTTATGACAGCCAAAATAAAGGTTTATATTGAGAGAAAGCACACAAAGAAATAGACAGAGAGAGCTTTCAATATTGAAATTTCAGATTTCCACTGCTTTTTTAATTAATTAGTGGGTGACACCCTGATAATCAAATTGCATGGAGTAGATAATTTTACTTTAAATAAAATCAAATAATTTTAACAATGAGCGTCTGATTTACGATAAATATACATTTCATCACTCAAAGACTTTAATACTCTTGAAAATGATCACCAGATAAACTAGATTTAAAAGGGTCAAATGTCGATTTCTTCATAGAAGAAATATTATATTACTAGTAGTAAAATGTTTTGGATTTAGTGATTTAGTAAAATTTATAATTTAATTTAATTAATTTATGTATTTATTTTTAATATATATTAATATTTAATAAAATTTTAATTTTAATACTTATAATCTTTTGTTTTATTCTCCAACTAAAACCCTTTTTATAAAAAAAATATATTGAAAATTTATAGCATGCAAATCAAATCCGTTGATGCAAAAAGTTTGACTAGAATGACAAATACTCGATAGAATTGGAAAAAAAATAATAAAGAATAAAGAGCGAAGGAAAAATAAAAATTACTAATAATAGTTACGCGAGGTAAGGTAAATTACACAAAGTTCATTTTTACGGCAAAGGTAAATTTGAAAAGAGAGATAAAAATAAGGGTAGCGTGTAAATAAATATATAAAATTTTAAAATACTGATTCACTCCATGGTACTATAAAAAAAAGACCTTAATGACAAAGTTTGTTAATATTTTACATTAAAAAGATTTGGCACGTTGTACTTGGAATCATTTGATAATACCACCAGTATTTCTATTCCAATGTACTTCTCCTATTAGGAGAATTCGATATTCATCCAGCAGATCAAACCCCAAAAAAAAAAAAAAAGGGCGGTAATTGGTAATGGACTCATTTCCAATTCTTCATTTGATTAGAAAAGAAGAAATTATTGCCTTCTTGGACCACCCTTTCCATAGATCTTACTACTATTTTATTAAAATAAAATTTACAATTATTTACTCATTTTTAATTGGTTAATTGTTATTACTTGGGGCTGGCTGTTTGGAATAGTCAGCGCCTTAGTGGGCCTGGCCCAGGTAACAGTTATTATTACCTATACTTAAAATAAAATATAAAATATTTATGTCATATTTGATTTAAAGACGATGAATAAAATAATATAATAATTATTTTATATTATATTTAATTTATATGTAATTAAAAATAATAAAATTACAAAGAAAATTATTATATTCTTGATATATGATGATTTAATTTTTTAAAGTGAATAAGATTATTTTTAATTCGTATGGTCAAATTTATATATGTTATTATATTCTTAAAAACTACATCAATAATTTAAATTATTTAAATTTTTAAAAAATAATTTTGATCAATAAATAAATTATCTTATCTTAATATTTTAACATATTAAATATAAAATATGATGATTTATATAATATAATCCCACTTATAATATTATCTTATTTTGTAGTATTATAATTTTATATATCAAACATGAACTAGTTTCAAACATTTGATTCAATTTATTAATGCATAATTTTGTATAAAAAAAATCAAATCTCTTATTTTTCAAATAAAAATGTACAAGATCCCTTGAAAGATTAATAAAGAATTACACTTTATCTCTTTTAGTTTATAACTTTAAATGAGATAAAGAAAACCAATTGACATTTGAATTTCAGGAAAAAAAAACAAAGTAAAAGATTGAGGTAATTATAGGAAGACGTTGAAAACACTTGGAATTATGACATTGGTTTATTTTCTATTTTGAAGAGTCAATCATAGTTAAATAATAATTACCATACAAATTGCAAAAAAGGAAGTCCTATCGAGTAAAGTTGCATGGCAATCATCTTAATTCACATGCATGGCTGCACTCGTGCAAAATACACACATTCATTTTACACAAACAAAAAACTAAGAAATGGAAGCCAGCCAAAACCCAATTCTACTTTTTTCGTTTGCATTTTTTAGATTTGGTTCTCAATTAATCAGATCAAATCCACCTTTTGAAAAAAGTAGTAGATTAACTGTTTTTAACCAGTGTTGGCACATCAATTAGGGAAAACATTTTCATTAGCTGATCAATCACAATAACGAATCTTGCATTATCATTATTTCTCTTGATCTTATGTCTAATTTGCTTCTTTTCATGCAACGTGGTGGCAATGATGGCGAAAACATCACTGATATTTAATTATATTATGCAAGAGCCAGCAAAAATATTGCGAGCCTGATTGTAGATTTTTTTTCCCATTAACCTGGCTTAGTCTATTTATATAGTTAAATGCAAGTATTTTCCATTTGGAAATATATAGTCGATGGCTCTATTAAAACGAGGAGAAGTACATGTCAACCATCTGCAACAACTCATACTTTTCAGTAAGTATGGTTTTGTTGTTTGATTGTCTATATTTGTTAGATTGCTTCACAAATTCAAAGCAAGAAACATTAGCGAATATGTCATTTCTGTCGTCTGCTGATCTGAAAGAAACCTCTTAGATATTCGCCCAATAATATCTTACATAGCTTTGAAAGTTTGAACTAAAGGAAGAAAAACCAACCATTCCCAACTTATGGAAAAAAAAAAAAAATCAGGGATCACTAGCCTGAGCTTGACACCTCTGACTCAATTGATCATCAATAGAACAAGGTCCAACCACTCTCTTGAAATGGCATTCTTGGAAGAGAATGAGGTGGGAATGGAAGTTGTTGGACTTCATGCATGGCTCCACAGTTGCTTAGTGGGTTACCATAGCAGGTATTTGAATGTGACTTGTTCAATTTATTTAACCATTTTTTCCCCAAATGAAGAAACACTATCATAACGGGCACAGTTTTGGAAAGATTTCAAGTTTTTAACCATATTCTTAGCAATATATATGTATGTTTTTCACTACTAGTAATTAAGCATATGATTAAAGCCTGGTTTGACGAATAAATCATAATTGCTATAATCCAATGAGAAAGATATAAAACTATTTCCCATAAGTAAAAAGTGGAAACAGATTATTATGCATGCAACTGTGAAACAACCGCTCATGTTAAAACATATATGTCATCATTACAGGGTAAAAAATGATTAATTCTAACAACAAAGAGGGGATGAAATATGGTAGTTTAGACAAAATCCAATCTAGTTCATAGCTGTTTTTTTGTCTTTGTAAGATAGATGATTACCATGAAATCTGTAAAGGACAGCTTTCCCATATAAGTCTCATAAAATTTCTCCACTAGGTAAAACTTGTGCAAAATCATTGGGAGATAGTAGTCCTTGTACATAGACAATCTATGACATTACAGCATAAAGGATTTGGCTGTAGACATGTTATTTTGCAAGAAGATCAAGAATCATATGCAACATCAAAAACATTGCAGTTTGTGCTTGTTCGGAAGACACCCCTCGGTAGGGCTCCTCGTAAACTACACTCCTATGATATCTGGGTCAATTTAAGACCTCACAGAAATAGTCGTTTTAACAATGTATATTTACTTAGTATTATCATAAGAGCTGGGACAAGAAATTGAACCTAGAAATCCACCATTTCCCATATACCAAAGGCCATTTTATTTCTAATACAAAAGTATATAGGGCTTTAGAGGACAGCACATCGTAAAACTCCTTTGCATTTGCAAGGCCTCTGCAACGGTCTTAATAGAGCAAACTATATAACGGGTGTGGGCTCCTATTCTATTCAGTCTAATTAGAATCACCTCACCTCACCCCAAAGAAAAGGCCTAACAGGCCGATCCCAATTCTAAAACTAATCCTCCCTAGCAAAAAGATAGGAACCTGAGCACATGGTATCATGTATGTAGTTTAACAAAAGAAGATCTGAATAAACAAAATACCAAAAACTTGCAGAACCTGAGATGTATTAACAATTCGGAAACATGGATAAATATTCATCAAAATCCACTCCCATCCACCAAACTGGATGAAAATTATAAACAGTAAATCCTATACAATGGCGAACCGAAGTTCTAGTTCTTGTTTCATCACTAGGATATCTTGAATTTAAATGGTTTTTTTTTTTTGGTCACACGTGAAAGCTCAACGTATTTGGTTTACACATCGGAGTTAACCATCTCCCATCCATAAATTCCAACCATCTCTGAAGAGATTGAGACCTAAAGGCCTCTAAGTTGAAAGTCTTCTCCCTGAGGATTTTAGTATGGTGGTGGTGGATAAAGGCCCGGAAAAGGACCTGCTTGGAAAACAGACCAGAATTTCAGTACTATAGTTAACATACAAATAGTAGTATTAAAAGATATGTAACACGACTTAAGTTACCTGGGGGATAATAGGGTGAGGCTGGTGGATATGTAGGAGGAGGATATGCTGAAGGTGGGGGAGGTGGAGGGTATGCAGAAGGTGGAGGAGGATATGCAGCTGGTGGAGGAGGATATGTGGATGATGGATATGTAGGATATGCAGGATATGGTGATGGAATTGGATATGCCGTAGCTGGTGGTGGATAAGATGCTGAAGTTGTTGGTGGAGGTGTAGAGTATAGAGGGACTTGATGAGGAGGAGCTGCATATGGTGGTGCTGATGGAGCATATGTTGTGGCTGGGCTCTGCAACAATCCAAATAACCATTTAGTTCCACTTGTTTGAATAATATCAACAGAAATGAAGAATCAAGAACAATAGATGGCTTACTTTGGCATTTCCATAATGCATTATGAGCCGCACTTCTCCTGCATATCTGCAAATTTAGACGAGTAAGAGTCAGTAGATGCTCAAGGATTTTTTCCTAAAAAAACACTTTTTAAAACTTTAAAACTAGTATCCCGAGAGAAAACCACATAAAAACCATACACGTATGCCAAAGATAACAAGAAATTGAAACAAACTGGATATGAAGTGATGGACTGTAGCTATGCTTTTAATTATGTTGGAGCAATCTCTAATAAAAATATCCAAAGAAAATACCCAGATGATTAAAATCTCACTACTGATTTTATATAATTCTCTAGGAAATTAACTAGTATTAGAAATTTTTTAAAGAAATCTGTCAATTCTCAAACCCCTAAACTTCCAGCCAATTAGAATCTACAAATTAACTGGGTTTAACCTTGAAGTCAATCCTCCTGCCAATCAAACTCTTGGACAACTTAGTAAAAGCGCCGATACATCCATCAAGCGTACCACAACCATAGCAACTCCAAACCTTTTAACCACCTCCCTCAATGAACCAAATGGTCCCAACCCATTAACGATTAGAAACCCTCTCAGCCCTAGACTTCTTGAATTCCCCGAAGCATTTCTCTCCTAATTTTTCTTTTCTGTTTTCCTCTAAAAACTCAATGCCTCTAATTAAAAAAAGACACATTTCATTAACTCAATTCCCTATTTTGGGAACCTTTTATTTCCTCGAAAGATCAGAACTTTACCTTAAATTTTGAGAATTTGTTTTTTGAATTTTGAGTTGTTTTTGAATGATCATGGGACTATTGGTTGATTCAAAGGGACAATTACTGAGTTAAATAGCTGAGACAGTAAAGGAGATATTTGAAGAACTGAGAGATGGAAATGAAGAGATAGTAAATGTTTGCAATGTGACTAAAAAACCAAATGCTTGTAATGTGAGTGATCAAATTGTTATTTTTAATAATTTAGTGACTAAAATAAAAAATCTCAAAAACTTAAGTGGCTAACCATGTAGTTTACCCAAAGTCAAGACGAAGTTAGATTTATAGGGTTACATTCTAAACCTAGCTTCATTTTTTCAAATCAATAAATTAGAAAAAGTTACTAGTTGAGCTTGAAACCAATTATCTCATATTGAAATAACAAATAATGTTTAACAAACTCAACTGCTATTGATGAAAATTAATGAAGCCTCAAAAAATTCAAACAGAACACACCTTGAAATTAATGAACTAATTTGTCAAAGTCTAATATTATGCTATCTAACAATGGCCATAAACCTAAAGACAATGCTATTTGATGTCAAAAACAGTACATAATAACATCTATGGTCCAAGAAATAGCTGCAGCACATGTTTGACAGAAACTATGTGTCTTTGTACATGAATAGAAGCTCTATTAATCAATATATTTCTATTTGAGGACAACTGCCACATTCATATATGATCTAAGAACCTACTTTCTTCCTCATAAACTGTAAGAGTAAAAATGAAGCAATGATGTTTCACTTTTAACAGCAAATTATAGCATAAAAGACATTATATTATTGCATCTGCAAGCTCTAGAGGAGACTAAGACAAATTAGAAACAACAGATATTCCAGAGTTATACGGAGAAATAAAAACAGGGCTTTATAGGCAATATTGCTACAGCATTCAAAGTGATTACTATAATACGACCTAAAATGTATGTTTCTCAAAGTGATTAAAATAAGTGGCGCAAGAAGATCTAAAACTACGACCTGACATGATTCCTTTTTTTGGCCTTTCATACGGCTGACCCTAGAGTTATGGGATATAAGGCTTGGTTTGTTGTTTGTTGTTGTTGTTACTCAAAGTGATTACTACACTATCTAGTTTATAAAGAAAAGAAATATCCATCTCAAGAGCCATTAGATTATTCGTCAAAACGTATCTTATACCATACATGCTCAAAACCAAAACTAAATTTCAATTCTCAGTACCTGCCGGTTTTCGTCTGAAGCGGCCAAGGACTATCATCGAAGCCATGAGAAAGAACCTTCTGCAATTGAATCCTGTAAACCAAAAATCCCAGGAAAAACATTAAAACCAAAAACCAAAAGCAGGACATATCTTCTCAAAAGCCAAAGATTCAAAGGTAAATTCTTACTTTCCGTTGCCAATAAAATCATCGTACGTTAAAGTATTGCTGTTCCAAACCACCACATTTATCTCTCTAAGCCCTTCAATTAGCGAGAACGTAAATTTCTCTTGGAATGTGGGCGTTTTGCCACCATCTTAAAAATACCCAAATTAAAAAAAAAAATCAGACCCCAATGGTCAATTTTTGACTAAGATCCCAAATCCCAAATCAGGAACAAAAAAGAAAAAAAAAAGAGTATATTCCAAAAGAGAGAATTAATTACCTGTGCAGGTTCTTGTACGGTATTTGGTGCTGCCATATTCAAGGCAAACGTAGGGATCTTGCCTTGAAATCCATTCAGTATCCTTCAATTTGTTACACCCGACAACTGCCATAACCAAAAAGAACCCAACATCAAAATAAACAAAAAAAAAAAAATTAATTTAATTTTGAGAAACATACATACCAGTGACCTCGAGAAGGTGGCCTTGAATGCCCGAAACCGACATGGAATAATAATAAGAAGAAGAAAAGTTAGGAGAAGATGGATGATATTGCGATGAGAAAATCGGAGCGTTGACCCAATATGATATGGCCTGTCCGCCTTTTATACAGAAAAAAGATAAGCATCCGGAAAAGGACCCTAGTCTAAAATTTTGTTACCCCTACCCTATACAAATTGCGCTTTTGTTTTTTCTTTGTCTTTCCCTAAAAACAATTAAAAAAAATTATCATGTTAACCTTTAAACACAAGTATCTTTAAATTATATTAAAACATTAAAAATTTTGATTGTTTTATATATTTAGTGTTTAATGGTTGCTTAAGAGGTGATGATGCTAGTTGGGACAAAAACCTGACGTCAAATTCGGATAACTACCACGAGCAGCCAGCAATGGTTGTTGTCTTATATATTATGAATGAAATCAGTCTAAACTAAAAAATAAAGAGACGTTTTGTTTGCCTTAACCTTTTAATGTGATGGATGGAGCTACATTTTACATTAAGTTCCATGTAATTTACCGGTTATTTCATCAGGATTAGTGTTTCTATTAACTTAATATAATATACTTTGTTGACAATAAAGATTGTAAAAAATATATTAAAAGTAATACATTTGTTAATAAAATATTAAAATTTTAATTTTAATGATCAAAATTTAATTTTTAATACTTTAAATATAAAAAATAATAAAAGTCTAATGATTCAATGAATCCATGAACGAGAAAATAGTAATAGGTGGTAGTATTTCTTAATGACGAAGAGAAGTTATGGTAATGGACTGGAATTTGGATGGTGGCTCCGAATCAAGGAAAAAAAAAAAAACACGTCTTCCAAGAGAAAAACCTTTTAGATCGTAATCCACGTATGAAGAGGAGAAGAAACCGGTCAAACCGTCACAACTCCAAAGCTACGATAGATTCAGAGATTTTGGCTAATTTTGATTTGACCTTTGCCTAGGTGACTGATGACAATGTCAACGCAAAGAAAATCTTGTACGGTTTGATATCGTTTCAAAGTTTGTATCTCATCATTTTCGTAGAGGCTTCCCGTTGATCCTATGGACAACCGGAGAAAAGAACAAAACAAGCAGATTTTCTAAGCAATGACAACAAAAGTTGCTTAACAACCACACAAAAGTAATGCCAAAATAATTTTCTTCACCGAGTAACGAAACAAATTCCATTCACTTTGATTCACAATTTAACGCAGCGATTATTCTAACAGACATGATGATGACGATGATACAAATGAAACGAATAGGATTGAACATTAATTACCTATAACTTGCAAGCCAATTTATGTACACAAAGTTTGGCATCTGCCCCAGTTTACTCACTTTCATAGTCTTCATCATCTCCAAACGTGAAAACAGATGCATCAGCAGCCATTGCCTTGAATTCACTTTCTGAGCTGGAAACTTTAACAGCTGCATCAACATCTTTTCTCGGCTCCCTAGTGGAATGCATCTGTTGGGAGTTTACACTTCCTAACGAAACTTGTTCGGTAGAATGCACCAAACTTGCAACTCGATCTGAATTGGTATGTGTTTCGGATTTGGAGGTGGCTGAGGGAGCAGCTGCTCCCTCTGCTGAGGCTGCCTTACGCCGCCCACTCTTTGATGAACCAGATTCTTCTACCTCACTGTCTGAGAACACATCATCTTTGTCATCATGTCCTGGGTCTTTATTTTTGTTTGATGGGGCTGCACCTGCATCAGTGGATGCAACACTGGTCTCTGCGCTTTCATCTGGCTTATTGATAGCAGTTTCAGCCTGGGGCTTCATTGGAACAGTGCCATTATAATCTACCAGCACAACCTCAACCTGGAAACCTGGGGAAGGCAATTTCCTCTGCACAGATTAACCAAAAGAGGCTGATAACATCAGAGAATAACCAATTTGTGCCAGAAAGAAAGAAATGAAGATCCCAAGTCAAAATTCATGTTGACAGAATATCACAAACAAAATTATTATCTCATCATAACACATTTCATGTTTTACCTTGTCAAACCAATCAAGATCACCGGTATTCAGAATTTTTCTGTTTTCGATCATTGTTGTGTTTAACCAACTGATATATCATAGGGGACAAAATGACAAAACGATCAGTTACAAATCATTAATAGGAGTCAGGAGCTAATTTTATGGGGAAGGCTACTAACAGACCAGTAAAAATCTCCTTGGCGATCATGAAAATGAATTTTGAAGTCCCCAGCCAACTCAGTCAGACCAGGCTCCCCAGGCAAAGCAAAGACCATAACTCCTTTCTTTGGTGCGCTAAACCAAAAATCTTCTGGCTGTGAAGAATAATTACATGCACATTATTTCAAATTGGTATAATGATGCTCAGAGCTTCAAAATGGCATTTTTAAACATGTGGTAATGATAGTAATCACAAAAAAATCAAACAGACATACTGAGAGATCCTTGGTACGTGGATGCTTCTTTGTGGAGAAAAGAACACCTGCACACAGAGAAAGTATTGAAGTTCATCATGATTTAATCTAGGCTGAAGGCTAAGATAGCATTAAAATGACAATGCAATGATTATGTAACATAATTGAAACAAAAATAACCCGTACAAGAGCCATAACCAAAGACAAATTGCATCAATAGTTGGGTTTGCACCTTAAAAATAAGAAGCAAATGAAGTCAACAATGACCTTATGAGATTGCTCACTTAGTTGTTATTAGCAATATTCCAATACAAAATAAGAGAGTTTGGGAAAACAGCTATGTATTTAAACACATTTATGCCAGCATTATACAATAAAACAACACCAGTTCATAACAAATATGATTTTGAGATACTAGTGAGTGCCTGCAGCCGTAAATCTTGTGCCAGAAATCTTATTTTCAAGTCTATAATGAATTTGTCAATGTATTAAAAACATCTTATGTATCAATAAAACACCGAAATGCAATGACAAGTTCAGCTTAAAGAACAATAAGGAAGCACAAGCCATCAATCAAATAAAGAAAACCATTTACAGACTAAAAAAAAAAAAATGCACTACCATTATAATTAGAGACAGTGATGGAGGGCCTGACCCAATAAGGGCAACGATGAAGCCGGAATCCTCTAAGCATGCACCTGCATAACAAGTGAAGTCAGCACGAGCATGAAGACCAAATATGCAATATAAAAATTGCAGCCAGAGAATACCTGCGCCCAGGCTGGTTTTCACCATTGAAGTATGTCAAGGTGCGTTCAAAGTATTTGACATATCTCTACAGAACATAACAAGAAAATAAATGGCAAATATAAGAAATAAAACAGTTTGCCAGAGACCAAAAAAATAAAAACCTGAAAATACAACTCCTCACAGAATATCACTAGAAATAAGTTGCTCACAATTTGACTTGGCAGAACAAGCCCCTTTCCATCCACACATCTTTTCTGGTTGTAGTAGTCCATGGACTCTTCAGCAGTGGGGAAGAACTGCAGAGAGATAGCAAATAAGTTATAAAAACAGAATCATCCATCATGACCATGGAATATGAAGCTACATCAAATTAACTAGCATTTCTTCAAAAACATGTTCATTAAGTCAAACCTTCAAGTATAGAAGAAGGCTAGAGATCATCAACCCTGTCCTTGCCATCCCAGCTTTGCAGTGCACAACCACAACATTCTCAATATCCTCCTTCAGCCATGCATAAGCACTTTGACAAAAAGATATTATCAATTGAATTGGGGGGCAATTATGATCATCGAATGGGAAACTTGCCACCTGAAGAAAAAGTTTGATATAAATAATAAGATGGCTCAACTTTGTTTCACACATTTGTCATCCTACACAAGTTTTAACAGGCCGCATTTGCTGTTATGCATACATGAGTGGGAAACAAAAGGTAGTGAAGCTTCATAAAAATTTAGGTGGAATTGACTCTTCACAGGAATTATCTGTTGAGTAAAATAGACTCTTTCCCATCCTCCCCTAATGGATTTCATTGGCAAATAGTTTAACAAGAAATTAGTGGCTGATTTCATCATTTTGATTTGAACTTATTTTTGTGTCTGATTCGTTCCACGGGTCCAACCAAATGGAAAGTCTAAATATTTTTTCAGATGCCAACATAGAGTGACATAGTTATCTAGTTAAGAGATCTCTGAGATGATAAAAAGGTTTTTTATTAAAGCTAAACAATAGGCACAGAGCACACAGCCACCAGCTAACCATAATTTAAGAAATAAGCCCTGGTGAAATATTTAAAGTAAACATATTCCCAAGTAAGTTACTATAACAAATCACACAGCATACCTTTCCTTCAAATAATGAAGCATCATATAGTCTCTCAGAGCAAAGGTTATATACTTTGTACTTGCCCTGCATATAGAAAGTCAATAGATTTATTACCAAACGGTACAATGCATGGCAATGGGGCATGGATGAAACACACACATACACATATGAATTAGTGACAAAAAGGTCTCTTTGATCCCAAACTTTTCTTTTGAGTTATACAACCAACTATTAAGGAACAATGACTTTAACTGCTCCAGCAACCTCAACCAAAAAGATTCATGTCGAAGAGAGGTGGATTTAATTTTTGAAAAAGGTACAGGCCAGAAAGTTGACCATAGACTTGTAAAGTTGTTATTTAAACATAGACAATTGCCAAAGCAGGCATAGCACAGAGCAAAGTAAAAGCTGAGAAAGTTGTCATGTTCAATGAGCAGAAAACATATTAAAAGCAGAGGCAAGAATAATCTCTCTCCACCAATATTAATCAAAATCAGTAAACCAGTATTTCAATGAGTCGCTCTGCCAACACAGACAACTTATCATCATCGCACACAGTATGGTAAGTTGTTTAATATATCACAAATACTGACCAAACTAAAACAAACCAGAAATTTTTTTTTTTATTTTCATTCAACTTATGAGGTCAACACAAGGTTCCTGCCATCTATTTAGGAAATAAATGGTAAAGCTCCAACAAAGAAAGTCTCACAAAAAACAATTCGTCTTAGTAAATTATTATATGCAGCCACCATAAGACAAAATTTGAGGTAAAAAATTGTGAAATAAAAATACACGTAGGGGAGAAAGCCAAAAAGAAAAGAAACAAAAATGATGCAGGAAGTGGCAAATTATATATCAATAGACATTTCATTACCTTGTGATGGGTTTCAAAAAACTTAATCACTTCTTCCATGTGATTTCGATAGAGCCCCTGTATCACAATTGTAGATTTTTAGGCCAACTATAAGAGGATAGCCAAGTTCAACTACTGATTTATCTAGCTACCTCAACGTATCCAAAAAACCCAGAGCTCATGTCACCAGCAGGGAACCCCATAGCAATTATGTTCTCAGTGATGTATGTCATATCTAAGTCAAATCCTCCTTCCTGAAGTAAAGGTACAAAGATAATTTTAAAAAAATTGAGAATCAAATCATAGTAAAATAAAAAAAGAAACAACAATTACAAGATATATCAAACATGGAATTCTTCTTTTTACAAAAAAAAAGGTTGGAGACACATCTGTTTACCAAAGAAAAAAGCATAAACCCCACCTGGTATCTTCGTTTGTTCTGTGAAACGACATGACGAGCCTTGACCTGTACAGCTTTCACTGCATTTTTAGAAGAGTCGACTATGCCTTTTGTAATTGTTCCAAGAAAACCAGGTTGTGTTGTTGTTGAAGCTCCATCAGAACAGTCATTAGCAGGAGGAGATTTGGGAGATGAGCGCAGACCTAGCCCACTAGTAAACCGTGAAAAAGTTGATTTTCCAGCATTTCCTGTTGGTGAGTCCTCTTGTGAGGCAGCAAATGGCTGAGGAATTTTCAAATTTTTAGCCCATGATGACAGCTTTGATGGTGCATCATGTGTAGAATTATTTGGTCCTGAATCTGCAGCTGCGGGGGTTTGTACGTCAGAAGCCTTAGCTGAAGGTGAATTTGGCAAGTGAGCAGGTACATTATCCATTCTGCCGTTACAAAGGTCTCAATAATAATCGAAGGTCAAGAATTCAAAGACGCAGCATATAAGATACCAGTTTATTGTACTCGGAATTACAACTGCAAGTATAATGTATAAGTTAAATGCTATAAGAAACAACGTAGCATATAAGACACCAGTTTATTGTACTCGGAATTAGAACTGCAAGCATAATGTTCAAGTTCAGCTAATAAATACCAAATGCTATAAGAAACATAGACTTCTTATCTTCCTGCACTAAGTAAACAAAAATCATGAATTGCTAAATACCCATATTGATTTGACCTCATGCCCAAAAACAAGTATTAAATGAGGAGAAAATGTATAACATACAGCATGTCATGTAATTCTTCTAGTTTTCTCTAGTTTGCATTCTTCTTTGTAATTCATGGCACATCTATCTCTTATTCCCTTACAAAACCAAGAAAGTGCCAAAAAAAAAAAAACATAATTGCATTAAGGCAAGGCATAGCAAGAGTCACTCTTGGCATTTTCAATTTATGCATTTATTTACAGAAGAAATTTCAACTGCCCAACACTAACAAGTAACAAAAGCAACCATTCAGACAGAATCAAAGCAAAGCATGTCAACTCACATCAAATTAATCAACTTAACATGACAACTAAATTATGCAAAGGGTTGATTCCACTGTTCTAGAAATCAGCAAAACTGTGTAGAAATTAGAAAAATAATGTAAAAGAACAACTATTATAACTGTTTCAAATATAGGATAACAAATTATCAGCTATCACTCTGATTACTTGCTAATTAACAAAATAGTAGTCAGTGATTGTTCACTCCAGAGATTAAAAGACAGAATTCAAGTGGCATCTTCAAGTGCATTTAAGTCTTAAGCATCTAGCCAAAACCAAATCCTAATTTTAGCTTCCATTTAACACAGATTATCAGAACCCAACATAAAAAAAGAGAGTATAAATCAAACTTCAAAAACCCAAAAAGTTCAAAAAGTAAAGGTAAAATGAAACGAAATGATTGTCCACCTTCAAAAGATTTGATTAAAGAGGTTAGATCTGCGGCGATGACCTTACCTTGTATCGAGACTACGGAAGAACCTGGTGTACTGGATTGCAAAACGGACGTTAAAATAATTTAGGGTTTCAAGATTTAACACATCGAGAGAGAGAGAGAGAGAGAGAGAGAGGGAGAGACCGGCGCTTCGCAAATTTGAAGGTGTTGGTTTTTACGTCAGTTCACCTGCTCTCCGTGGTCAACGCATGTGGGCTGTTGATTTAGAAGAAATGTATTGAAGATCGAAATTGGACGGTAGGAAATTATGTTTCGCAATTACCCAATATAGATCTTGTGTACGGTTCTTAGGTCTTACAATGAGATATGGTCCGTCCGCTTGATCTAATCTTTTTTAGATTTTTTATGACTCGACATTATCCATTTCACTTATTATAATTAATCCATTTTATTTAAAAATTATGTGAGATTAATTAAAATTTTAAGTAAAATTTAATTTATAAATGAAGATTTTTATAAAATTTTTATTGTGATTATATAATTATAAAATTATAATAAAAATTATAAGTGATATATTCTCCAACTAATAATTCGGTAACTAAAAGAAATTAAATATATTCTATTTTACATGTTAGTTTCTGTTGTGTAATTAGTTATTTTTTTAATCTACCTTTAATATTCTTTTTTATATATATTATAAATATTTCAAAATTAAACTTTAAAATTTTTGATAAAAAATATTTTTATCCAATAAAAAAGTTCAATCAAACTCTTTTAAATAAAAGAATGTATGTAATTATTATTAAATCAAATATTCATATATTTTTAATCTTATAATTTTGTTAGAATAGACTCAATTATTTATCATTTATTTTTATTGCAAGCATTTTTTTTAAATCTAAATTTGATATTATAAACAAAAGGATATAATCCTAATGTATATTTTTTTAACTTCCTAATCTACTTTTAATTTTATTGTCCTTTATATTTATCTATTTTTAGTCTTACTGTCCTTTGTATTTATCTAACAAAAAAAAAAATCATGTGTATAAGTTTATTTGAATCTGCAATCTTCAAACGTCAGCAAAAATCTTATGCCAGTTGATTCAAATATCAATTAACAATCCTAATGCATTTTTAGCATAGTTTTCTTTTTCTTTTTCCTTTTTTGGATAAGTAAAGAATAAAGATTAAATTAGTTTATTTCTATACTAATATAGGGTCTAGAATTTATTTTGAAAGGGAACTCACATACCTGAGTTCAAAGCAGTACAGATGTTTCAAGGAGCAAACCTAAGATATTTTGTTGAATATAAAGCAAGGTTCATTAATGGCGATTATAATGATGCTTTTATCACCAATAACTCGATATTTTCAGAACTAGCCACGATTAATGAGGATGGCTGGAAAAAAAAATAAAGGCTTGGTGAAAGGAAATCATTAGAAATCTTGTGTAAATGACAGCAATGACCTTAAATTTGAAGACATTGCAATTAAATAAACAAGGGAGTGCACCAAAGCAGCCGCATATAAATCAGCATATTTTCTTCTCCTTGCGAGTTGCAACCTCCATCCCTAATTTTTGGGTCATTAAGCAGGAAAAAGGGTTTTTCCTCCATTGCAATTTTACTTGGCTTTTCCTTGCTTCTCAAGCACTGCTAATCCTTGTTCTGGTTCGTCGCCTGGAACTTGTAGCTGGACCTCGCCTCAATAGTTTTACTCCCAGAGGATTGTCCTTGCTCTATATGTTTTAACAACATTAGTAAATAACATGAGGAATTGATTATAGGCTTTAAGATTATAATGGAAGTAGTGAAATTCCAGTGCAGATCATAATTACCATTCGGCAAGTTCCAGCTGCAAGGTCACAGATCGGATACTCCTGAGGGCAGCAGCTGTAGCGATCATCACAGCAAGTTGCAGACTCCAATGGGCAGCATCCCCAGCCGTAGCAGTATTTACCAAACTCATACAAGCAGCAGCAAGTGTTTCCTTCAGGGCATGAGTAGTAATCGTCACAAACAGTTGGGGGCTTCACGGGAGAAGGGGGAGAGGGGGCAGGCTTAGGGGGATTCTGTCCTTTCTTGGTGGGGTATGAGGCCATCATTGCAATACCGCACTTGCCAGTGGAGGTGCCAGCAACATTACGCTCCATCCTGATGTATCCATTCTCTCCCCAGTTAGGACCCCGTGAATTCCTCACTGTCCAGTAATCTACACCATCTTCTGTGCCATATCCAACAGCAACAACACCATGGTCTAGGTTTTGTTCCACAGTGACCAGTAAATACACCCTGAATACAAAATGCAATGTTATATGCTTGAGTCACTTCATGAATTGGATGAACAATCGCCTTGGGCAACAAATTCCAATGATTATAATAGGTCAGGACACAACATTTACTTTGAATTCAAATTCAGCAGCAATGACACTAGACTCCCTATCATTATAGCTGACTCCAGCAGACAAACTAGACAACTAGATGAGATGAAGAGCATAACTATCATTGTTCTAACTGATCATTGATCACAACAAACTAATGTAAAAACTAGAAAATCAGAAAATAGATGCTAGAAGATTCAACTATTTACCGATTGGTATAGCTGGAAGGCCCTGCCACCAGCTTCAATGGCAACACTAACTGGTTGGTTTGCCACAGCCTTCTTCAAGGAATTCTCATCATTTTCGGGGACATCCTCGTATCCATTGATGGAAACAACACGGGCATTTTTCTACAAGGAGAAAAAAAAAAGGAGAAATTAACCAATCTCAATGGAGAACACCTGTCACCAGCATAAAAGTTTCTCATTTGAAATTGAGAGAGATCCAAATTCCCACTAACCCTATTTGGATCACATGTATTATCAAAAGCACGGTATGGGTAGTCCTCTTCAGTGTCGATGCCACCATTGTTGGTAATAAATTCAAATGCATGGTCCATGAGACCTCCGTTGCATCCCTGGTTATACAAATGATCGCAGTCCACCAACTCCTGCTCCGACAAAGAGATGAGATCACCAGTTACAATCTTGTTTATCCCTTCCACCGCAGCAACAGTTGAGAATGCCCAGCAACTTCCTTTATTGAAAATCAAATTAATCATTCAACAAGTTATCATAGAGGAAATAACAATACAATGGTTAGAAAAGGAAGCCCAAATATTCTGAAAAGAAGCACAACTACATCCTTGATACAAAAAAATAGCAGTTAAATTGTATACGCAAAAACATTGATGTAAAGATGAATTGATATGCCACAAGGAATACCAAGCCTAATTCAGGATGTCTTGAGATTTTTCTTCTAACCATATACAGCCAAACAAAATTCCAAAACCAGATAAAACACAAAACAAATTCCCCTATACTTTCTGCTATAAGATAAATCCAGGGAAAACAAACAATTAGCCACAAACATACACACATCAGACGTCAAAATCATGTCTTTCCAAGTCAAACTTTGACAACAGTTCCGAAAAAAAATTGCTCAGAATCCAAAAATTACCAAAACGTCAAAAAAGAAAAAGAAAAAGAAAAAACTTTACCACATTGGCCCTGATCCTTGACAGCCACGACGGCACCTTTCTCCCTCCAATCCACAGACTCAGGCAATTTATCACCAACCCTAAACACATACCTATTGCTCTTGCCTTTCCCTGCAAGCCTGTATGACTGACTGACTTTTCCCATCAACCCTAGCACCCAAATGCATAGCCTTGTATTCTTCATTGGTCAAATCCGCAAACCTGTTAAGACCAACCCTGTACGAGCGGTTAGCTGAGTTATGTTCCTCAGTAAACTTAAGATTATCCTTAAAGATCTCAAAACGCTTTTCCTTCTCTCCCAAGGCATTGTAAACCTTGCCATGTTTCACCAGCCAAGTCTCGTACATTCTCCTTGTCTGATAATCGGTTCTTTTATGTTGTTGTCCACCATGGTTGAGATCATAGTCAATTATGGACATGTTCAACGCAGATGACAGGGTTATTAAAAGGAAGAAAAACATGAAAAAGAAAATACGGGAAGGTTTCTTGAGAAGAGCCATGGCTGTGTTTGGGTTTGTGGGTAAGGGAGATGTAAAACGATGATAAAGGACGAGTATTTATATGGGAAAAAGGGGACAACAGATAAGGAAACAGCGTTGAAATTGAAGTTGAGTTTGCATCTGTCATGGTTTGGTCGTTGGGAATTTTAGGCACGGTGACACTACCTATATTTGGAGAGGTGCGTGGTTTAAGATAATTTTGTTTTGACCAGAATTAGGATTTGTAGGGGAATTTTAGGCATGGTTGGAATATTGTCTTGGCAAATGGGAGTTAGACACCTGATATTCCCATTAACTACTTGCAGTTCTTGCTGAGCTAAATTCCACGAAAAATTTTCGTTTAGAAATAAGACGTGGATAAAGAAGAAAATGAAAATTTGCAACAAATTGGAGGTTTCGTATCACGTGGCCGTTCGATTCACTATTTTCTGAGGATTGATAATGCCAGGCACTTCATAAGGTTGATAATCAGATGTTACATTTTTCTGAGGCTCATAGCGCAGTAAGCTATCGACACACTGAGCGCAATATAGCTTGTTCCATGAAAAACTAGCCTAGGGATCCCCAGCTTCCTTGCGACTTCTTTAGCCCAGGGAAACATTGCATCTACCAACAGGCAAATTGGGGTGGCAGTCTTCAAGTATTTGTTCAAGGGGTTGTTGAAGCAAGCTAACAGCTTTGATGAATTTACGACCCCTTTCTTGTGAAGTGAATGAACTTTTGTTCTCAATTCCCCATGCAGGCCAGCCTCCGTGGAAGCGAATTTTATTATGTGAATATCGATTTAAATGCCCAACTCTCTTTCTCTTTCAATTATTTGAGAAAAGAAAGTGGCATTAAGTTGAGTGGTGACAATGGTGGCTTTCACACCTTGCCTTGCAAACAGTCCGGCCATGTATGGGGTTGGGATCAAATGTCCATGACCCAGGTGTGGAAAGAACAAGATATGAAGTGCATGTGGTTTTGAGTCCATTTGGCCTTGTAGGAAATATTAGGAGGCCAATTTGAACTTCAACTCTGGTCAATTGGCGCGCTAGAAGGATCTCTGTAAACTATGATGTTTTTTCCCTCTCACAAACACGTAATTTCTAAAGGAGAGAAGTCATTTTGTCAACTTATATAATAACCTTTTATATTACTGACTTATGAAAGTTTAGATTGGAAGGAAGGCCTTTCAAGGAATTATCTTTTTCACAAAATTTCTCCCTTGGATGGTAATAACTAATAAGTATGATTTAGAATTGTAAAGCTCTTTCTCGAAAATGAAAAAGAAAGAATTGTAAAGCTCTTATTAGCTAAAAGGGCAATGTCCTCTTCAAGAAATCAATGTTTTTATTTTTATTATGGTGATAAACTCATATATGTTAACAATTGGCATTTTCTTCAGTCTGCTTGCCAGGTATTAGTCTCTGTTTACCAACCATGT